CACAAAGACAGCTGTTCGAGATTCACATACCGATATTGCGTCCTTGGCGTCAGACACAAAGACAGCTGTACAAGATTTATATGCAAATATTGCGTCCTTGGCGTCAGACACAAAGACAGATGTACGAGATTTTTATACAAATATTGCGTCCTTGGCGTCAGATACAAAGACAGCTGTTCGAGATTTACATACCGATATTGCGTCCTTGGCGTCAGACACAAAGACAGCTGTACGAGATTTATATGCAAATATTGCGTCCTTGGCGTCAGACACAAAGACAGCTGTACGAGATTTATCTGCAAATATTGCGTCCTTGGCGTCAGACACAAAGACAGCTGTACGAGATTTATATGCAAATATTGCGTCCTTGGCGTCAGACACAAAGACAGCTGTACGAGATTTTTATGCAAATATTGCGTCCTTGGCGTCAGACACAAAGACAACTGTACGAGATTTATATGCAAATATTGCGTCCTTGGCGTCAGACACAAAGACAGCTGTACGAGATTTATATTCAAATATTGCGTCCTTGGCGTCAGACACAAAGACAGCTGTACGAGATTTATATGCAAATATTGCGTCCTTGGCGTCAGACACAAAGATAGCTGTACGAGATTTATATGCAAATATTGCGTCCTTGGCGTCAGACACAAGGACAGTGCACGAGATTAAGGTATTCATTCCCTAATAGGAACAAATTCAATGAAATTGAATACATTACAGATATGTAGGCACTGAATACTCAGTTTAATTAGACATACTTCCCATTTATTACTATTAGTATGTATAGTGGGATATGTCCTAATTTCTTACCTTGAATATTGGTAAGAGTTATCTCCCCTTTTTTTATTAATTAAAAAAAATCAATTAAAAAAATGTAGCCAGTAAAAAAAATTGTTCTCAATTGTCATCCTATTTTTAATGTTTCGATGCATCTTTCCACCGCAGGATTTATTGATATTCAAAGTAATTGAATTTTCATTTTGAAAAAACGCTTTTCCCCATAGACTTCAATGTAATCTTTGTTAATTAATTACTGCTTAGGCCTAAAATAAAATTAAGTTTGTTTGCAGTTGCCTACCGACCCACTGAAAATGCACCCGACCCAAACTTTTTTTAGCCATTTGGTAATTTTTTTTTTTTTTTCAATTTTTCAGAATATTGAAACAGTTTCATTTTCAAATTTTGACACGTTTTTTATCAATCAGTGGTTTATAACAAGAGGTGAGCTTATTCATGTCTAGTAAGTGTATGAAAACCTCTTTTATTTGTTATCTAACAAAAATCTGATTTTTTTCCAAATAAAAAAAAAGAGAATGCCTACCTACCGACCCAGTCTAAAAATTACAGGTTGGCAACTGCAAACAAAGAATTTTTTAAGCTTGGCCTTAATTAATGAAATTTTTGAAACTTTCTCGCGGTCAATCTTTTTCCACTATAAAATACTTTAATATAATATCAGAGTATTATGTACTTGACGGACATTTAAGGGTAGGGAATTTGGTCCCATTAGGGATGGAAATCCTTAACATGCATATTAGTCCTCCTCGACTCCTGACCTATCGCTTGGCGGAAATTGGCTTCCGGTAGTTTGATCTAGAAATCAACTCCAATAACGTTTGAGTGTTATCGGAGAGAAGGCAAAATATAGATAGAAAAAAATACACATACATTATACGGATGCTATTGAAGTTGGACGGAAGTTAGTGCTTATTTTGTACTTGCAGCTAATTGTATAGTTGATATCATTACGGAAAAGTTTAACCTGGTAATTAAGACAACTGTAATCCTTGCTTGCCCGGATCTAGAAGGGGGGGGGTCGCCTTAAATTTGCAGAGTAATCAAATGTATATTGGAAATCTAGTAAATAGTAAAAGTAACCTTGGATACCCACCTTGAAAACGGTGACCCCTCCTCAGAGAAAGGATCTATGTAATAATGGTATGAGAGTTCATTTGAAGGAAGCATTCACACAGCTTTTAGCTGTTCTGACCATGTGGTTCTTTAGAAGAAGATTTTTTAATCGATGTTCCCTATATATTACAATGAAATTCTTTGATTCCTAATTGTGAACCATTCCAAATTCCCAGGGGTCATGGCTTAAGAGTATAGAATCAACACTACTTCAGAATGCATCCACGTAGGTTTCAGCTATCCTGGGTCAGTTGTTCTTGAGAAAAGTATTTCTTTAAAACATCTCCATACATTTCATTCTTAAAATTGGACACCCTTTCTTGGCCCCGCCTACACTTATCCACTGGGTGTGAGTGGGATTGCTCTTTTATTAAACCCGCGTCAGAGAACTATTTCCCAAGGGCTTGCCAGATGTATAATATATTTCTTAGATTTGATTTTTTCAGTGAGATAATTCTGCAAGTATAATCTGAAATCCTTATGACGTCATAATGCTACTGAAATCATTAAGATATCATGAGTTTAAAGAAGTATCGCTGGAAATCAAAATTGACGGCAACAATTGCTCGAAACTTTTCTGAGTGTGGATAGTATACAGTTATGGAATGGGTACGAGGGAAATAGCAAATCTATAGTTCCCAGAGGGAACCGCGGAGGGAAAGTTTCCTGTCGAGGGGGACCATAAATTTTTTGCTATTTCCCGAGTTCCAAAATCATAACTGTTTTATTATACCGAAACAATCATAGGCAATATAATTTTTTATCAGATATTCCGAATTAAAAAAAAACACTGTAGTGGCATAATTACAAATGCATGCGGTTTAACACATTTTATGATAAACAATGCATCCTGTCCTAAAACAAATTATTTTTAAAAAGTATTTTCACTGACATTCCGAAGAATTATCGTTGTTTTCATTTTGCTAGAATTCAGGTATGATTTTGACATCGTTTGTCGAAATGTTTTGATATCATAGTTACATATATAGCTTATAACATGATGTCACAGACTCGAGATTCCTTGATCGCTCCGCCCACTGAACACTTTGATTGGTTAAAATTGCTAATAAATATGCATAATGGAGTAGTCCCAGGGAAAAGCTCTGATTTTCCAGGGTCTTCAGATGATGGCAATAGTCTCTTCGTGGGGGAATAGACAGTTTTATGGTATTAATTTTATAAAGAGTAATTACAGTAGAGGTATAATAACAAAAAATATACCCCGGTGTATAGCTTTGCTTTGCATGGACTATAAAGGATAAAGGATACCCGGTAGTTATTTTACCTTCCCAACTTTATATAAGAAACATTTACCAGAAGTATAATAATCTAAACTACCCCTGCATGCTTCCAACTCAATTTCAACTTTCCTGACCCAGTCGTTCTTAAGAAGATTTTTGAAGATTTTTCGATTCCCTACCGCGGCCCCATCGGGGGTCATGATTTGGAAAATTAAGAATCTACACTACCCCAAACTGTTGTTATCAGTTCTGACTTAAAGTTTTGAGAAGATTCTTCCTATCTTTTTTTCATTCAAAAGAAAACTGTAATAATTAAGTCCGGACACGACAAAGTACGGACTTTTACGCATATGTACCCTTTCGAAAAGACATGATCTTAAAAAATTTGCTGAAGTTTAGTGGGATTTTTTATTCTCATTTCAGCATGTTAATCTCAACTTCCACAATGTTGTAGTTTTATTATAATCTTCTCAAAAAACTAAAAATCCCATGGAAGAATGGGGGGATTTTTCAAACTTCTTGAAATCTCACCAAAATCTTACTGGAGAAAAATAAACTTTGAGGGACGTTTCCTCCCATGGTATTTATAATTAAATATTTTAAAAATTGTATTTTATCTTGAAGTTATTAAAACCCAATATTCATGAAAACAATCAAAGGAAGATTGTATAGTTTGTCATGGGAAATGATATTAATTAGTGTCTTAGGGGCATATCTAAATATAAGTATACTGATTTTATCTGCACAAGGGTAGAAAGACCTAAGACAAGAATTAATAAAAGGTAACAGGGAATGCCTTAAGGGATTAAGACTAGTAGGACTATGCATTATGTACTTTTCTTGACAGGCATCTTGTGACATAACACTCCTCGGTTTTCCTGTCACCTCAGAGCGAATATTTTGGTATGTTACCCTTGTAATATATGTTATAAGTTAAAATAAAAAAAAATTAAAATCATTTAAAATGCTTTCTTGGCGTTAAGAATAACGTTCCGTTGTTTACATTTGCATAGCAACCGACGTCATAAAATCTCAAACCTGAGATTAAATACGTAATGTAAAAACACGTGAACCTGATAGAGAGGGTGATATAACTGTTTCCGGCGTGTGACATAACTGTTTCCGATGTGATTCAGCATTTTCCAGGGTTTATAGCGAAACTTATTACATTTGTGACATGATAGGAAAACTTTTCTAAAATGTTATATTATGTATTATTTATTGATTAACCTTCGTGCCCTAAAAACCAGCTTTTGTTTGTTTTAATCTTGTCATGTAAAATTTGAATTTGTAATTGGATCTTGCAATATAATAAAAAGATATTGATTGTTCTATTTTTAAAAAAATGGTTCAATTCAATCAATTGACGTACGTGGATGCACTGCTTCATCAATCCAAGAAAAAATGAGAAATTAGTTCATTTATTCATTTAAAGCAATTAACATGCATGAATCATTAATGCTGTTACATGACCATAGGAAAAAAAGATGTTTTTTTCTCCCAAGAAATACGTTACTGCAAGTACATGTACAATATGTATAGAAGAGTACTTGCACTTGTTTGCAATGAAATATAAAGATTACAATTATTTTACAACGTCACAAGTCCAATAGAACAGCAAAACTGTAAGCAAAGCAAACACGGCAACCTCAGGGACAGGATTAGGTGCCACAGAGGAGAATATATTCCTTATTGCTAATAATTTCACATTTTGGAGAATATTTACAAAAAGGCTTATTCTTTTGTATTCAGTAGAAATTGGAAATATCGTTATCTTTATTTTTCTTAACAAGACAGTGATTCGAAAATTACCTTACAACGTCTGCAATGATGCTGCAAAGAAAAATGATACGATTTGTTGTTCTTGCATGCTTTCTCCTGAGTGTCTTTATTAGAAAATTCTCGAATTCCTTTTCCTATCAAGGAGAACTGACGAGAAACGTATCTTTGGACAACATTTTGCCAACGAACACCCTTTATTATATAAAGATGATCGAGAGCATAAGTCTGATAAAATGCAGTTCACAATGCTTTCTGCTGAATTCAGCATGTGTTGGTATCATATACAACAAGATATTCTTCTCATGTCATCTCCTGAAAAGTTATTTTACTGAACGATCAAAAAACAAGACGAGTGTTGAAGTTGGATGGGAAATTTGGCTAAAGAAAAATTGTAAGTATAATTAAAATAAATTATATAAACCTAAATGGAAATTTTTTCGATGATATGTTTCATTTATTGAGATATAAATAAAAAAATCCCTAAAACTCCCGAGTGTATTTTCTATATTTTTCCCCCTATTTGGTTTTTGATTTACCCATCATTCAAGCTGATTGTTTGGGTGTGTTTTTTTTTAAAGAAAACTTTCGCTTTGCCCATACATTTTGATTGATTTGGAGTTTTAATCTTACCAGACTGTAGGTTTAACCTTTCCTTTACATTTGAACTGTGAGTGTCAAAGTAATGATTCCTGATATTTTTATTTCTTGACACTTGAACTCTCATCAAATATATTTTTCTCACCTTTTGAACTTGGCCTTTGCATTTTGATTAACTTTGAATATCATTTATATACTGTATACAGGTTTTTTTTCGCCCTGTCTTATTTTCGCCTTTTTCACTCTTGCTAACAATTTTGCCCCGTTTCAAATTCGCCAAGTCATAGTTTTGTTTAAGAGATTATACTGTATTCTTTGAATTCGCCCCGTTTTAAATTCGCCCAAATGAGGGTAGGGCGAAAGGGGCAAAAATAAAACGAGGGCGAAAATTTCCCTGTATACAGTATAGATCTTTCCTTTGGAACCAATAATTTTGATCCTTTGACCAAAACTTTCAGTTTTATTTTTTTCACCAAAAAAAAAAAAAAAAAAAAAAAAAACTAGCCTTAGCGTATGAAGTGTTTGTTCAAGGGCTTTAATATTTAATTAGAACATATCTGTTTAAAAAAAAAAACTTTTAAATCAGTGCATTTTTTAAAATCTCGTATAAAGCCATTTTAGCCATTTTATCGGTATGCCATTTGAAAGCATGTACCTAACTGATATTGAAGATGCCTCACAGTGCAGTTTCACGAGGATGTAAAAAAAAATTTAAATTGAAAAACAGCAGCACTTGTTTAAGCTGAAGGGTGAAGTTTTGTTCAGATATCCTGCTTATATATAAAACTCTAGGGAGAACAATTCCATTGTATATAATAATGACTGTTGCATAAATCAATTACATAAAATTTTATCGTTTCATCTTAGAAACATGGTCGGGTCAAGGTCATCATTTTTTTCCTTTACATTAAGAAAAAACATAATAATTTCAGTAATGTGATGCCTTCTTCTACTTCACAAGAATAAAATGTTACACATAATGAAAACAATGTGACAATTTATTCATAAGATTTTTTGTATGAATTACTTAGTAATTTGTAACAGTAAAAGTTTTACAAAACACAACATATTTATCTAAAAAATATATATGTATGTTTGACAATATGGAAATTTTGTCTCATTTATTGTTCTTATGCATTTAAGAGAAATGAGAACTAAATTGTCTGATTTATAATTAATAAATTAGAAGCCATACACATTGTTTAAATAGAAAAAGAGGTTTTAATCGGGGTTTTTTTTGTTAGTTAGGTACATGTATCAATGTTATTCTTCACTAATTATGAAAAAGCCAATAAAAATTGGACTATTTTCAATCATTGCACTGCAAATATCCATGTTTCATTAAACATGATAAAATTTATTACGAAATTATTTATTTTTTCAACATAATTTTTTGGTAATCTTTTTTACATGTAAACACTATGAAAATAAACACAAGATTAGTAAAAGGTTTTTCTGTTACGTAAGTATACGAGCAATGGATAGTTATATAATAAAATCGGAAAGTCAGTGAAAATAATTGTGGACATTTATACTAGTCAGAAAAATTTAATTATTAATTTTTGAAAAGCTCTGATAGTTATGAAAATTACATGTAGAGTCATATGACAATCAACTTTGCTCTTTAATTGTTCCATATACATGTACTTTATCTAATTCTGGCAGAAAAAAAATTCAGATTTGAATTTTCATAAAAAAAGTGTCCGTATTAAACCAATAAAAGTCACAGGTTTAAACATTTTTATTTCATTTGGTGTAAAATTAATGTTTGCATTCAATTCTTATTGTCGAATCGGATTTTATTGGGAAATTTAATCTAAAAAAATCGATGGCTTTGTGCAGTTGTAAGTCAATTTTATGAATAGAAAATATTTTTTGAATAAATACCTGATAAAAACATTGTTGAATCCTTTTGATTTCAAAGTTTCATTTCTTTATTGTTTAGATAGAAAAATCAAACCACTGAAAGTATTAAAGCTCAAAATATTCATGAGAGAAAGGTGTAAGCTCGTTTTTTATTTTATATGTAAGTTTTTGAGTAATACATTTAAAACGTAGAATTATTTAAGAATTTGAATTAACTAATGTTTTTGTTACTATTTACGTATACAGGTTTTGCTGGGTAGAGTTACCTATGCGTGTATTGTTCTATTTTTGTGCAATGTACTAAGTTATGTACGCACGTAAGCTATTTTGTTTTGACGCTTATAAAGTTGGTATTGTGGGTTTAATTGTTAAAACCACTTTTGTTAAGAAATTGTGAATATTTATAACGTTGCCTATAAATTTGACAGTGTGTGGTTAGAATTACTAGTACTGTTTGTACGGTGTGCCATTAGTGAAATTAAAGTCAATGTTGACTAATGCTTTTTTTGTACACGTAACCTGTGACTTAAAAATGTTATTTTCTCATACCCGCACTTTCTGAAGAAAGTTGGGGTATATTGTTGTTACTCATGTCCGTCCGTCAGCCTGTCCGTCCGTCCGTCTGTCACACTTTTCTTCCTTGAACGCCTTCTACATTTTACACAGTAGCTTTATCATCTTTTGGGAGATGGTTGGTGGTGTCATGTAGATGTGCAGTAAGGTTTCGGATATTTCATTTTGCCCCGGAGGATCAAATGGGGGTCGAAAAATGACTTTTTCTTATGCAAAAAAATCCGTCTTCCCTGAACTCCTGTTACATTTTACACAGTAGCTTAATCATCTTTTAAGAGATGGTTGGTGGTGTCATGTAGATGTGCAGTACGGATTCGGAATTATCATTTTGCCCGGAGGGTCAATGGAGGTAGACATTTGTTTTTTGGTTTTTTTTAATATTTGATATTATTACATGTAATTACCCCGTTTTCAAGAACTACCCTAGTATTTTATGCATTAGCTTTAAACCATGATCGTTTGGAAAATGATTGGTTTGTTTCGTGTATGTGTAAATGGTTTCAAAATTTGCATTTTTATGTGGATGGCAAAAAGTGGCAGGAAAAAAAACAACTCCCTAACCCAGGGGGTCATGATTTGAAGAAACTTGAATCTACACCTCTTGAGAATGCTTCCATATTAATCATGCTTTTGTTGTTTTTGAAAAGAAGAATTTTGAAGATTTCTTTCCTTTTATTCCTAAATAAAACTTTGATCCCTAATTGTAGCCTGACCCTAGCCTTTGAGGTCATGATTTGAAAAAACTAATAATATGTCTATAGGACATGAATGTCCCGCCGGATGTCTATTACTAATGCTACATGAAAACTTGTATTAGTGTATAAAGTTTGATGAAAATATCTTGAGCAGTTTCTTTAATATTGAATGAAAAATCTAAATAAATTGGATATTGATGATAAATTCTCACCAAATTATGTATAAGTGCATGCTCAACATAAAAAATGTCTTAAATTATTTCTTTAAAACTAAGCAAAATACAAATTAAAGAGGAGGGAGGTCAAGGTCACAGGAATGTGCAAGGTGAAGTTTTTTGATGCAGTTGAATAGCTCTCACAAATACATATCAGCATATTATGTTCGATAAAAATATCTTGAAAGATTCAATGAAACTAAGCTTAACATTTTTTTAGAAAAGAGAGGTCAAAGGAAAAGTTGGGTCAAAATGTTGTTCCAGTTGAAAAGCTTACATCAGTATGAATTTACTATTAGCATATGAAGTTTGATAATAATATAATGAACGGTTTATTTAAAACTTAGATAAACACATATTTTAAAAAGTGGGGTAAAGATCAAAGGAAAATTCAAGGTAAAAAAAAATTGATGCATTAATAGCTCTCAGCAGTATGTATCAGCATATGAAGTTTGATAAATATATCTTGAATGTTAAGTCAAAACTGATCTAGACATCAATTTTAGAAAAGTGAGGTCAAGCTCACAGGAAAGGTCAAGGCAAAAAAGAGTGAAGCATTGTAAAGCTTACATCAGTATGTATCATCATGTGAGATTTCATTACACAACTTGAATGGTTTCTTTAAAATAAAGCTAAGGTCAAAGGAAAAGTCAAGGTCAAAAAATATTGCTGCAGTTGAATTGTTTACATCAGTATGCATCAACATATGAACTTTGATAAAAATATCTAGAAAGTTTCTTTGAGCCCGAAGGAAAGACAGATGGAAGGGTGGAGGACGGACATGACAAAAACTATACATTTCTGATCATGGCGTGGCATAAAAAACTTAAATCTACATTACATGAGGTTGTTTCCATATCAAGACTATACAAGCAAATTCAAAGAATTGTGGTCCTCTGCTTTCTGTGTTTTAGTGAATGGGATGCCATAATTTATGGCAGATTGTGTGTCGAATATGCACCCCTACATGTATCATATGTCAATTTTTGAAAATTAGGTCAAATGGGAAAAATCATAGCATGCTCAGAAACATTTTGTTGCAGGTAATGTACATGTCAAATATTAAAGTCCTATCTCATTTCAATCAAATGTTATATATATATATATAAAATATAATATTTTTGAAAAGTAGGTTAAACCTCTAGGTTAAGGTCACAGAGTCAAAAGTCATGATATATTTAGAAAAATCTTTTCACATGTACTATACATGTATAAATTGAATTCCCTATCTTTTCTCTTTCAAAATGATCAATTTCCAGACCCGTGTTTGTTCATGTATGCAAACTACTTCTTGTTTTTACATTTAAAAAAAAAAATGTTTATACATGTTTATACAAATAGCTTAATGTGGTCCATCTCTTTGAATGATTTTCATTCCTAATTCTGGAAGGATAGGTTGACACAAATTCATGAATAAAATGTCAAGCAATCTTATCATTGATGCACTTTTATTTAATTTAATTACAGTCATATTGTGAACATTTCCAGTTCATTAGGAGAGTGGGGATGACTATTTTACCCAAATCTTTACCAAACCTTGTACCTACCGACTGTCATACATGTAGGTCCTGTCAACTTCATGAAATATAATCCAATTAAAACACAAAATGAAATAATTCCTACTGACATACATGCAATGATGTGTACACCACAATGCACGTGCAGTGCAATCTAAAATGATATTTGTAAAACTAGTACTTAAGGTCAAGATCTAGTAAATGTCTTTTGACTAACTTTTTGGTGCTAGATCCATTATGACGTCATAATCACTTTCAACTTTCTTTTTCCCGTACTTTACGACTCTAATAGAAATATGTAGAAAATAAAATATTTTCAGAGAATTCAATTTGAAATCACATGAAAAGTAGCCCCGATACCTATGTTAAATTTGACATTATTTTAAAGAAGAGGCTACGAAAATACAAATTACCGTTTTCTGAGAGACTGTAGGCAATCTGGATACATTTTCTTTGTCTATTATTGAAAAAACTCCCATATTCATGTCTGGATTTCCTAATTTTTCATTGGAAATGACAGTTTAAAATATGATTTTTCATCTTGTTTACCTACAAATTATGCCCCGAAACATCTTATTTGACCAAGCTAAAGTTATAAAGCACCATTAAAGGAATTTATTTCTTAAATATGATAAACCTGTAGGCACCTTTCATTTACTAGATCTTGACCTTAAGTTTGGTACGTGACGCAAGTCCGAAGTGATGCAGGTGTTCAGATGCATGTATAGTACAAAGAACAAATTTAAAATTATCATTTATCTTAACTTTGCCATATAGGCCTATTTCTAAAATCCGGCAAATGGGGTGTGTTTGTGTGTGTGTGTGTGTGTGTGTGTGTGTGTGTGTGTGTGTGTGTGTGTGTGTGTGTGTGTGTGTGTGTGTGTGTGTGAGGGTGTGTGTGAGTGTGTGTGTGTGTGTGAGGGTGTGTGTGTGTGTGTGTGTGTGTTGATGGGAGAGGGGTGGGGGTTGACTAAATATATTGGGTATATGGCAATTTTCAAGGAGTTTCTGTGTAATCAAATACAAAAAAAGGTATGGACATCTTGAAAAATTCACAAAAAACGCTTTGCACTAATTTGAATAATATTATTTGTTGTTGATTTATATGAGAAAATAGATTTAAAAAGTTCCAATTATGGGCCAAAAATTTATAACCCCCCCCCCTTCCCTCCTTTATCAAACCTTATTTACATAATTAATTAAATTCTGTTGTTTAATTTCAGACTGGTAATGAATTAAGAATATGAAATATCTATAAGATCGAGGCCAATTGGTCACATAGTCACCTGAGCATATTATGCTCAATTGTATTATGTAAATTATTGAATTGTATTGACCTTTTCCTTGGTAAAGCTCAATTTGAAGGAGTGTGCATTCAGAGGCATACACCTTAGTGCGGGTATTACTGTCTCATGACAGCATCTAGTTTAAACGTTTCTGATGTAATCCAATTATAATCTAGCCATGTATGTGTTGGTGACGACCTAAACCAGACCGGGATGCCCACTGGGAGCCAGTTGGCGGGAGTCCGTAGTAAAACGGGGCGTGTCTGTGTGGACGTGGTTCTGAGCCAGCACTAGGATGATATTGAGGATTAAAAGAGACTTTAAGTTCTATTTATTGTAAATAATAGCTAGTAAAAATATGTTGTGAATATTGTTTTTATTGATTTTATTTAATAGATTAAATTTGTAAATATAAAAAAAATTCTGTTATATCTGACTTAACAGAGCACAAAGGCTGTCGTGACACCAAGCTCTTATCTCGTAAAGCACAGAAATGTTATTTCAATGATAGTTCGTTAAACAGCACACATTAAATTCATATCTATTGTTACATGTATTTTTTTTTTTGTATTTAATTCTGATTGCCGTTGAGTTAAAACTTGATTATTTAATAATATACTCGTAGATTTTTTTTATATATATAATTGAAATAGGTTTAGGAAGGGTAAATAATTCTATAATAGTCAGATATATTTGGGACCAAATACATGTATACGGATTCACACAGACTGCGCATCGTCAAATACGGATTTTCATTTCTCACCCTGTATGACTCCGTATTAGGCCACTAACTGTCTGTGTAACTGATAATATGGAATGTTTTGATAGTGCAAAAAAACGACGGCATCCTATCATCCAGACATGTCTTAAACTTATTAGAACCCGACACTCTTAATGAAGCATTTGGTCAGTTGCTCATTTGTTAAATCAATTAAGAGTGTTTCGGCAGTATTAATAGCACATGTCATTTTAAAATTGTGATACGGCCTGCCATCATCAGGGGTCTATCGTATGCATAAATCAATCAATTTCTTTGAATTTGATTTGATTTTAATTTGGATGTAATGATAAGATCGACTATATTCTTGTGTTTGCTGTATGCCACCATAGGGAGTGTTGTGAATAATTCTTTGCATACATCATCATCAAGTATGTAACTCCAATATTTCATAAGTCGTTTCCTTACGCAGGTATGTTAAGGTTACAACCAAATATTCTTCTTGCCTATATGACATGACGTCATAGTAAGCTACATGACGTGAAGTTTAGAGATGACAGTTTCTTTAACCGATATCTAAGATTGATTTGGGGTCGTAAAAATGAATCAAAATATGCAGAGGCATAATATAAACGGAATTTTGTCGTTTCTGGGTCTCTGTATTTATCACAGGGGTTAAATTCCAACGTCATAACTGTTGATCATGCAGTAGCAGAGTGAAAGTGAAACGTAACGAGAATTCATGTGAACAAACACAAGAAATCGGAGTTTAAAAGCATTTGGAATGAATATCATGTTTGATTCATGTGGGAATAAAGCTTATGAATAAGGTATGCTAATATTTTTCTACAATTTCTTCGTAAAATAAAAGCAGACAGGGTGTTTACTTGCCTATCAGCCTTTCCTCTGTCGTTCGTAACAAAAAAACATGCAAAAGTTCAACACTACGCCGCACACTTTGAAACTTAATTTTTGTTTCTATCTAAAGCTCTTATTCTATTGATTTTGGAAAGTGCTGCTAGAATCGTATGGTTTACGGGGATTGATGCAATTTTTTCCGATCTTTTGAACAAAATGTAAAAATTTCCGGAAGGTTTGGCAAAGTGTTGAATAATTATTTCTATGATAGGACAGTAGGATTCTAGCAGCACTTTTCATGGTACAGAGATATTTATACATAACTATTATTACAAATTGAAATTAATTATCCCCGGGGTAGTGTTGAACTTTTCACTTTTTCATTAAGCATTTTTTTCTAATTATAGACGTCACGTGGTGACGTCGTGGTGAAGTGCTTCCTGTAGTATAAGTCCCATTGAAGTCTATAGAATGCATAATGATAGCAAAAGTTTCATCCATGACTTTTCTGATTTATTAGTGTTAGGTATTATAAAAAACAGTGTTAATTCGCCGAATTCTGATCCGTGTGCTGTCGTTACAAACCCGCGTAACCCCTTTATACATGGGTTAAACTTGGTGACCAAAACGTTTGGTACAGCCTTTTTGTTGTTTTTCTTCTTTTATTTTTTAAGAAGATCCATTTTATTTGCAGAAAAAGTTTCTTGCATAATAGGTTCAATTTCTAAATTTTTATAACCTTTTTTTTCGAGATGAGTTTTGAAATCTCTAAACATAACTTCCAGTACAGTTTGATCACTAGTATTTCTCAGATGTCTGCAAGTATTGGAAGCAGTTAGCTTGGAATTTGATGAATTGCTACATTCTGTCGAGAAAGCATATTTAGCAGACAATTCTAATCTGGAATTACCTCGACCTTGCAGTTCTGATCTTATCTTCTTTCTCAGATGTATACTTGAAAATAATTTTTTCGAGTTCAATGGACGATACTACAAACAAATCATAGGTGCGGCGATGGGGGCACACCCGTCACCAGAAATTACAGATATACGTATGAAAGACATCACTGATGATGTAATATCTAAATTTCAACATGCCGACAAACTTATTTATCACGGCAGATTTAGAGATGACGGCTTTATCCTATTTAATGGAAGCCCAGATGATATTAAAGAATTTTTTGACATTGGGAACTCTTGTTATAAATATTTGAGATTTACTTATGAAATATCTCACACCAGTGTCAATTTCTTAGACACCACTATTTACAAAGGATCAAGATTCCTAGATAGCCAGAGAATAGACATTTGCTCGTATATCACACCTACTAACAGCTTCCAATACTTGCACAGGCAAAGTGCTCATAGCCCATCAGTTTTCAAGGGCCTAATTAAAGGAGAATGTACCAGACATCTGAGAAATACTAGTGATCAAACTGTACTGGAAGTGTTATCTTTAGAGATTTCAAAACTCATCTCGAAAAAAGAGGTTATAAACATTCAGAAATTGAACCTATTATGCAAGAAACTTTTTCTGCAAATAGAATGGATCTTCTTAAAAAATCAAAGAAAAACAACAAAAAGGCTGTACCAAGCGTTTTGGTCACCAAGTTTAACCCATGTATAAAGGGGTTAAGGAAACGAATTATGAAATATTGGAATTACATATTTGATGATGATGTATGCAAAGGATTATTCACAACACCCCCTATGATGGCATACAGCAAACACAAGAATATAGCCGATCTTATCATTACATCCAAATTAAAATCAAATCAAGTTCAAAGAAATTGATTGATTTATGCATACGGTAGACCCCTGATAATGGCAGACCGTATCACAATGATAAAATGACATGTGCTATTAATACTGCCGAAATACTCTTAATTAATTTAACAAATGAGCAACTGACCAAATGCTTCATTGAGAGTGTCGGGTTCTAATAAGTTTAAGACATGTCTGGATGTTAAGATGCCGTCGTTTTTTTTGCACAATATGGAATGTTTTGATACGAACAATATATTATTGTCTTTTCCAGGTTGCTCTGTCGGCTGGGTTCCTTTTAATGGACATTGTTATTTCCTGAACAAAACTATGACAAACTGGTACGACGCAAAGGTAAAATAAAGCAAAACCAAGGTAAAATAGAATGTCAATGTCAAAAAACGAAGCTTTGCATCTTTCCCTAAATGCAAGTTGTCTAGGCTGATCCCTTAGTATCTATTGCTGTGTATGTAGTAGTAAGAATACGTAATAAATTATACGAATTGTGTTCTCGTGGAATCAACTCTTCGATGTAATCATCAAAGCAAAGAATTACGGTGTAATTAAAAAGTATGGTCTCTAACTTTACTCTGATGTAAAAGAGTCGATATAGAAATGTACATGTAAATATATGTTTTTCATAATGTAAGTTAATTTTGACGCAAATACATTACAGGTAGTGTGTGAACTAAATGGAGCCCACCTTGTAGAGATAGATACACAAGAAGAAAATACATGGATAATGGAGACCTTTCTTTCACCTTGGAATGATGGTAAATTGGTTATTTCATAGAGAAAATATAAACTTCCCAAACTTCTAGGAAAGAATTTTATTAATATCTGGTTTGGGAGGATTTCATGATAAATGTAACAACAGTTTTACGTTTATAATCTCTCTCCTTTCAATTGCTACAGACTTTTAAGTAAGTGTAGATGACTCTGATGTAGATTCACCATTTACATACACATAGGTTTTTTTAATCTTATTATTACCTGGAAGTTTATTCTGTTAGTCTAATTAATTCATGTAATTGTCGCTAGTGATGATTCCCATATTTTGAAGCAAAAATGCATAACAACTCGTCGAGCCGTTTTTTCCCCATTTCGACAATCCCTTTGATCAATTCAAGAGAATAAAACAACAATGTTTATAAATGATCAATGTTTATTAGCTTTGTATTTGTGAATCTTTTGGTATATTGTATTTGATAATATGACGCCAAATATAAAAGATATGGACACTGTGACATTACTTTTGGATCAACCTTCGTACTTGGAATTGAATTTGACTATCCCCTATTATCTGATATAAGTGTTTCTTATTTTTCTGGGAAGCGTTTACATTACAGTGGCTGCAACGTTATTGTTGACAACTTACATGCACGATCACGTTACACGAACGATTCCACACGACTAACACACGATAAAACCTGTTACACGAACGACCCTTCACGCACACGACTCTACACGTTACACGATCTTACGCAAACGCACGATTCTTCATGCAAAATGGTTCAAATAATTTAAGAATGAATATTTTCAAAAAAGGCTTTATACCTATTTTAAGGTTCATCTAATTATTTTTATTTCATTGACTGCAAAAATACTTGAAAAATTGAATAGGATGTTTCTGGAAGTACATACATCTTTGTATGACTTATCGATTATTTTTAATTAAAAAGAATTAAATATTTATCTATGTATGAATTATCAATAATTTTAGATTAAAAAGAATTATTTACGTGAATCTCCGACTAAAGAAGACTGAATTTTCCCCTTCTACTTATAGAACATTTACATGTAGGCGAACCGTGAATTTTGATTGCATTTAATTTCTTTATACCCAGTAAGGGGGATAAGAATTAAAATGAATTTCATCATAAGTTATGCGTAAATCCATGTTTTCATTTGTTAATCTCTGAAATTCAACAGTTTTTTTACAAATCATTTTTTGTTAAGAAATTAAAAATTGAAAATGATTGAAAGTAACATATGTAGATAAACACGGGTACTGGAAACTCTGACAATCATGTTGCGTAAAAGTACATTCGCCGACTAAATATTTATGTATGTATTGAGAAATGTTTTATATCAAAAATATCAATTTTGATGTATTTATTTAAAAAATATCTTGACCTTAATTATTTATCAGTAAACATAATGAACATCAAAGAAAAAAAATCACGCTATTTGCATTGATTAGAACATAACAATGTACGACTTACTGTATTACTTATTAACAGCGATAATTAGTTCGTACCGCTTTTAATTATGTAAGTCGCCCTTTATTTATTACATTTTGATTTTTAAAAAAAATACAAGCGAAATGCATATTAAACAAAAACATTCCAATAAAAACTTACAAAACGAAATTTACACGTTTCTTAACGCACGTTCACGCACGATTAAAACCGCAAACGATTGAGTCTGATACACGCACGATCTCGCACGTTAAACGAACGATCAAGCACGATACACGAACGATTCTACACGATTGGTTTGTCAACAATAACATTGCAGCTACTGTAACTTAAGATTGATTGTGACATTTGGATGAAAGGTCAAGGTCATTAAAAACCAACACCTCTTTAACTTCTATCCTGCCAACCGAAATAAACTCTGAAAGATGTTTCTAGATACATGTACATGTACTTCATGTTTCTTTTTACCCTTGGGTTAAGGACAAAGGTTAAGGACGATTTCAAGTTCATAGGTCAAGGTCATTTTGGTAAATAGCTCATATCAACATTTCATTCAGGTTACCAGTGACCTTGACCTAAGTTTCAAGGTCAAGGGTCAAAAGATCTGCATGCTTCAGTATGTTACATGTCTTGACATTTAGAAGTTCTTAATTCTGCATGAACATCAAAAACTCAAGTATACTGTCGTTTAATGCATTGTGTGCGGGCGCATGTGCATGCACGTCCTTGCATTTACTTTTGATAGTAGCATAATGTAGGCATTCATTATATCTATTCATATCCGAAATTTCACCCTGTATTATTGAGAACCAAGAAAGTTTTAGGCATTTAAAGTTTTAGCCAATCAGATTACAGCACACGTGCATGTGCGAGCGTTCATGATTATTCTTACATATCATGCTGTAGATCTTCATAATGTATGACTATGTTCAAAATTTCAAAGGATTTTGTCAGAAAACAAAAAAGATATTTAGACTTTTAGTTTCAGCCAATCGGAGCAAAGCGCACGTGCATGCGCGTGAGATCTTGCTAAGTTGACCATGTCATCATGTCTATATTACTAATATATCCTTATATTATGAGTTTCAAAGCATTTCATCAAAAATTTAAAAAGTTACGGCTATATCTATTATATTGGTCATTTCACGTGTCACACGTGTGCGCACATGCACGCACATGCGCGCAAACTTACCTTCGTTCCGCACATCTACATAACATACCTAGTGACCCTAAAAAGGTTTCACCTAGATCGGATGAGTAGTTTACGAGAACACTCGCGGACAAAAAAGTACCGGAGAACAAAGAAGAAAATTCAGAAAAAGTAAAAACAATATGTTCACAAACTTCGTTTGGGGAACATAATTATTATAAACAGTTTTGAGTGCTAGAAAATCATGTCAACGACTTGATTCAAAGATTTTTATGATTTTTCTACTCCTTAAAGTATTTCCTGTTTATACATCTCCTGTTGTGTAGGCATTGATCATAACAAATATTACATCATAAATTTCTATACTGGTTGTGTTAGACCAAGCCAAATGCTCATCACATTAAACAGTATCTACTGAATTAGTCTTGACAACTTAACCTTTCCAAATTTATTTTGAAAATAAATTTTAAGGCTGGCCATCAAATGTCATATTCTATAAACTGACCAGCCTATTTCCCAAAGGATACAGATAATACTGATCGGAGATGCTCTATAGAAATGATTGAGACACCTAGCCTTCCTACATTGAACTCATTAATTAGTCTTTGACAGGATTCTTGTCCACTCATTACCCCCCAAGGATGAATGGACCTGCACTTTCTACCATAAAACATTTTTTTTTTTGATACTTGATGATTTTTTTTTATTTAATGTCAGACAGGTTTTAATCTGCAATTCATAAAGATAAATGGAATGCTTATTCCTTCCCCCAAAACCACCGCATTAAAAGAAGTTTTTAATAAATGATATTATATAAGATTATTTTATCATGCAATATCAAATTCGTTTTTATTACTTTTCATCAAATTCATTTTAAAACTTAGGCTAGCCAACAAGAACTATTAATATTTGATTCAAGGCTGACTCAATTCCCAAGAGATATAGATAACACCTGCTTCATCAAAGATGCTCTACCATTTAGCTCTTCACACTATAAAACTCATTAATTTCTCTCTAATTTGACATGCAACTTTTTGTTATCAAATTCTTCTTGACCAGTGCTTGATAATTATACCCATGGGAGAGATAGAATTTAAACAACATTACATTTGTTATAGATTGCTGTAAACTATATGCTGAAAAAAAATGTTTTTGTATAGATTAAACATTCTTAAAATAAGGATACTGCAATACTCTTACATTTTTTGGGATGTGTAGATAAAAAGTAAACAGACACAGTTTTTTTTTAATTTCACTTAAGTTAAAGGTCACACTGACCTTAAAATAGGTCGCGACACACCTTCTACCTTAGATGCAAAAACTGGTCAAGTTTGATGATTCCAAGTCTAATAGTTTTCTAGTTATGAGCCGGAAAGGATTTTTCCATAATTGGCTATAACTTCTTTTAAAATTAAAGGTCAGAGCGACCTACTTTCAATGCCCGACGCACCTTCTACCCAAGATTTATCAGCTGACAAAGTCTGACAACTCTATGCCTAAGAGTATTAAAGTTATGAGCCGGAAACGAAAAAGCTAACAGACGGGCGTATAAATTATTTGCGTCAGTTCCTGTAAATATTTCGGGAAAAGTTGGAAAATTTGCCTCTTTCTCAAACACATAACTACCAGGGAAATGTAAGCATCTCTATAGTGCATCAGTTACAAGTTAAAATTCTGATCAAGAAATGGTCTAATGGTTGATGACAAATGACTTGATTCAATATTTTTTGTGATGACTTATTACAACTAATTTGTATTTCAGTCGAATGCTCTAAGTGGTGGGAGTGCTGAAATAGTTGGATAGGGGCAACGGATATCGACGAAGAGGGAGTTTTCACATGGAATCGTCACACCAACGTTACGTATTCAAATTGGCGTAAGGGCGAGCCTAATAATAGATGCATGTACGACAAAGAACACTGTGTACAGATATGTCGAAATGGACTTTGGAATGATCGAAATTGTGATAATATTTATGCATTTATTTGTGAAAAGGAGTAGTAATTCAATATCTTTCTTCAACGGGAAAAACTAAATCGTTTTTGTTATTAGGGAATGAAAATAGCATTTTTTTTTTCATTTTTTTTTTATTTTTTTTTTTTTTATTTTATCATTTCGTTGTTGGAATTTTTTTTTTTTTTTGGCTACAAAAAAATTATTATACAAAAGGGTTTTCATTTTCGCACATTTCTTAGGTCTTTATCAATGCATGTGTATCCGACCAAATCTCTTCTTGATCAAATCAAAGTTACTGTAACTCTATATTCTCTCAATGCGATTTTTCTTGGACTGTTCAAGTACCTTTTATGTTTGCATTGTGTAGTAACCTTTATTGATCTACCAAATACAGAAAATTGAGCATTTAAAGGAATTATAGGCATCAAAATACGCATGACTTAAAATATAACCAGAAACTGCTCGATATATGTATACGAGACATATGGTCGCGATGCAGATTTCATAAATTAGCAGTATATCAAAATTAGACTTACAAGACTAATTACACTGAGAATTCCATTTAAGCTCTAATGTTAAATTCATGTGATAATTGTAATGTAAAATATTAATTACTTGCAATTTCCAATAACCCTTGTTATTTGACATTTGTAGAACAGGTCACAATTTACCCTAGGGAGACCACAAAGTCGAGTTTATAGTTTCTGACCACTTTAAATTGGTTTATAAACTGGTTCTATCATTATGGTATTTCCCTCATGAATGCTAATATTATTTTACAATTGTTAAATTTACTAATCAACTAATAATATACTAGTATAGTTTGAAAAAAGCATTTTATTCAAAATGCTACATAAATATATTACACCTGTTGCTCCTGTTTATTTCTAAGTTGTTATAAGAGCACATGCATATTTTACATTTACCGAAATATGCATGTACAAGTAACATATTTTTAAATCAAATTTCATGCTGAGTTGCTTCTACCTGTTTGTACACAGCTGATTGAAGAGTGTGCACAAAACATCAATTTTTGAAAATATTTTACAGTTTATCCACTTGAATATAGCATAACTTCATTCATTTATGTTGGATATTATCCAAATCTGTAAACTTTTGTTTGTTTTTAAAACTATATATACATTTAAATGGACGATATGGAACTCATACTTGTAGATTATGATTACAAACTCTTGCAATTAGAAGCTTTATAATAGGCAAATTTCTTGTTTGTTCAGAGTGAGCATGTATATAAATGCAAAATAATATTTTTCACACTTCCAGTTCAGTTTTAGAAACAATGTCTCGATCCATGTCTAATTCCTCGGGCTCGATATACGGATAATCATAATCCCCAATGAAATCATCCTCACCATCGTCAAAAATATCGTCAGTGACGTAATCCGTCTGAGATTTATCATCGTCGGCATCGTATTCCCCATCATCATATTCATCTTCCACACGACGAATATCTTGATAACTTAAGAACTCCTTTTCTTTCAAGTCCACATCCTCCCCTTCTTCGTAATATTCTTCAAACTCGTCATATCCTTCTTCATACGCCGCGCCATCTTTCTGACCCTTAATCCCAGCTTCCGCTCTGATCTTAATAACGGATTCGGTTATTCCGAATTGCTTCCTCATTTCTCTCATCTGTTCACTCGGTCGCCTCTTTTGTAACTGTATTTCACGTTCTTGACGAAGTTTCTCTGCTTCCGCCCGGCGCTTTAACATTTCTTTCTCATCTTCACTAGAATCTCTAAGAAAACGGGATGCATTTGTGAAACACTGATAAACCCACGTTGCAGCTTATAGCTTGCGTTGAAGTTTCTTAAATACACGTCAAACTTCAAGGTTAAAAAAGAAATTATCTTGTTGGGTATATTTCTTAAGGTAATCAATTTATCATCCGAAAGAAGTTAAAAAGTAATATTTGTTACCTTTCCTCGCTGATATCAGAGTGATCTCCATAGTCAACAGGGTTCATACAGACAGTACACATGTTGTTAAGGTCCGTGAAACAATCAAGGCAATATACAGCTGTAAATAGAGAGGTCAACATTACCGCTATATTGCCAAAAATTTCAACTCATTACCGCTACATTTACACCAATAAAGAGTAGAAAATAAATTTGTTGAATAAGAATTATATTTCGGCAGAGAACTATATATTCATTGAAACTAGATTTAACTCTTAAATTATTTTGTTTGTCCCCTTTATACTATCCTTTATGTCTTAATAAAAATCAATAAATTAAATGATTATCATAACCATGCCTTCGCAGTCTTTATTTTGACAATGGTGGAAATTCACGTTATCATCAAATCGACCCTCATTTCCACAGGACAAGCAATGTTTTCTTTTGAATCCAAGAAAACTGAAGAACCTTCTGCAGAGAGGAAATCTACAAAAGAAATTTAATCTTGTATGAACATCATATTGAAAAATAGATTAAACCGCTTCTCTTATCCTCATTCAATGCACATTGTAGCGCCGCTCAAACTGTTCTCCTTTCTCAAAATCTATTGTTTACTTATTAATTCACAAATGTTTTTATTTATTTCATCTTTTCTTTGGCGATTCCACAATATTATTGAATCAGATATATTATTATGTGCTAAATTTCAGGCACTTGAATAAAGGCTTTATAAGTGTTTTTCCTTTTTTAAAAATATTATTTCGACTGGTGATTTTATTTTATTAGTTTTTTTTTTTTACATTTGAAACCAAATGAGGTAAAATCTTACTGCGCCATTAATCTACTTCTTATACTAATTTTCTCCTCCTCCTTTAAAACCCCAGCTTTCCTTCTCAGCTGTCGTCTCGCAAATTTTAGGAATCCGCCCCTGGTTTTCAGTATGTGGTTATAGAGCCAAACTGCTCGCGCTCTTTCCCGCCTAGGATAGTAACAGGCGCCGATCACGTGACGTAACCTCAAGCCGTAGGCTTGAAAGATGGTCATTAATAGGCATACGAGGTAAATAAAGCCTGAAAAAATTCAAATATTAAGATCATGCATATAAATGGAGTCTAAAAAGGAAATTTTGTTCAGTCTGATTAAAATTAGATCCTTTGATCCACTCACATTGATGATACACAAGTGATCGGATGTGAGCGGATCAAAGGATCTGATTTTAATCAGATTGATATTAATTTTAATTTCATCTTATTTCCTAAATGCGGACACCTGTAGAAATATTTTGTTGGATCACATTTAAATGTGCACTTTAAGTTAAAAATTATTTACTGATAATTAAACATATCTTAAGGATTGATTTATTGAAACCGAAAATTACCTATCTGCCTGTAAATTCGCCAATTTGGTATGCTCGGGGTCGGGATGCAGCCTGCCGGTTTCAATTTCCCGCCCTCCATTGCCATGGGGTCAAATGACGTCAGCAATGACCTATACATGTCAGACAAGGAACCTTTACCATGGACGTGAATTTTCAAATGTGGTGGAACTGTACGAAAATAAACAGATTCGTCAAATACCGTGAATAATGAGGTATAGACGTAGGATTATTCATTGAAATTTAACGTATAGGATTTCTTTATCAAGAAATCATTCTAAAGTAGCAAAAATAACCAAATTACTGTACATGTACATAAATGTTGCGTATTAAAAATTTAATAGAATCACTGCATATCAAGTTGTTGGCATACATGTATGTATGACCTACGCGCCATTTGTTGTAATTATGATTTATTCATGAACTATAGTGCATAGTTGTCCGCGATAAAGCTCTTAAAAATGTGCATCCCGCTTTTAAAGTACTCATATGTAGTATATTAAAAATATGAAATACAATTTCTTCACAAATTTTAACACATTCTGTAAATCTAGCGGCAGCTCTCTGCAGTCAACAGCACAAGTTTATCAACAACGTTATATTTAAACAAAACATGATTTATGCAGCTTTCCTCATGTCATTTCTATTCACAAAAAATATATAAATGTTCAAATCGTGTGAAATATCAAACATTTTTACACCTAGCTAAAAATAAAAACAAGAAGACATACTAGGCGCCGCAATCTTTTTGGAGAAGAATCCCTTTAACATGTTGAGAAGCCAGTAAAGGCCGTAGTCACACAGCAGATAGAAGCCCGTATGACAACCGCTAATCAAAAGAAGGAACAGACCCTTAGCCAAGGCCTTTATCTCCCTCAAAGCCATTCCCGGAGACCCTGAAACAAAAGCATAGAAATTGATAAATGTACATTGAATAACTTAGTTATATTTCTTTTCTAGCTGATGTATACTGTATAATATCGACTGGTTGTCCGCTTGACTTATTTGTAAGAGCGTCTGCTCTAGAGTCGCGAAGTAAGAAGTTGATTTTTACGTCGCGGGTTCAAATCCCACTGTGGGACATTGTGACCCATTGGATGAGACGGTATAAACCGAGGTCCGGTGTCGCAATAGGTGCTGGCACGAAAAGATCCCTCACTGCTCGATGGCCCTAAGTGCCGGGTATTAAGGACAAAATTTGTTGATCTCCGCCGACCAGTGATTATAATACACCCCTCTTACTTTATTAACGAGGGTGGATTTTTGTAAGGCACAATTTTAATCATTTGGTGGTATAACTTTCCGCCAAACAACTAATTGAAGAAAACACATATTATGATCAAACTTGCTTCCTTTGCTTACTTGTTTTGATGTACTTTTTCTCTTCTTTCCAAGTGAGCGGAAATATCCCCTCCTTTCCTAGCTCTATCCGCCGTTCTTCAACGTCTCGTAGTTTAAAGGTTATATAAATGTTATCAAACTTGTCGTTTGTCTGAAATTTCTTCTTATAAATAAGAGCCCTGAAAAAAAAATATTGTATCCCTGTTACATGTACAAAACAAAAATTAAGATATCGGTATTTAAGTTTCTATCGATTGCCAATTCTTTGGCCTTTTTTCCGCTTGTCGGAAAGACCGGAAATCCGATTACGAGTTTGCCCTAATTAATACCGGGACAGTTTTAATCTGATTCTTTCTCTTTATTGCTCAAATTCTACAATGAAGCAGCCAAGTTCAGTAATATTTATTCAAAACAATATAATTACTAAGAAATACAATACTTTCCCGCAATATTAGTATCAAATATTTTACAACTTACTCAATGTATTTTTGTTTTGATATTATTTACTGTCGATCGCTTTGTTCTCTCGTACATAACAATGAAAGGTCAGCAGCAGTATATATCTGCACATGCGTCAATTTAAAAAAGAAAATAAACTAACTTGATGACAACGAAGATGAGGGACACCATCATGACGTTTTTCAGGAGACCGAGGACGAAGACGTATCCAGACAGACGTTCATTGACGTCCTTGAGAATGCCGTCCTTGACCTCCGTGTAGGATTTTGATTGGGTAGCGTTGTACTCGTACGTGTAATTGAGCGTGACGTTAAAATAAAACATGTTCTTGATGTCTGTGATGGCACTTTTTATGGCTGAAAATTAGAAAAAAAATATCATTTTAACTTTCTTTCATGTATCATTTTTTCATAAGTGCGTGGATGTGTAATTGGGTGTGTGGAAAGAAGGATGGGGGGGGGGGGTTCTAGGATGACAGTAGAAAATTAGGAACGTCTATCTTTGTAAAGAGGGGGTCGTTTCGATGGGAAATGAATTGATTACATGAATGCAGGGTAGAAAGGAAGAAGGTGTTATATTGATTTAGATGTGGTTACTACATAATTTAAAATAGAGATATAGCCATCTTTCTCTGGCCTTGTGGCCCTCGGGTAACTTTAACTAGTTTGTGTTTCCTTCATATTACAGGACGTAAATGAAATTATTTTTGTCAGAGGATTAATGAATATTTTTACTTAATCAAAAATTTTTTTTTATCTTTTAACATGATTATATTATATTACATTCTTACGTGTATATATGGCGGCCTTAGCAAGCGACTTGATTGCTGCAGCTATCACACATAGTAGTTCAGTGACTATTAATAAAAAGAAACAAATAAAGTGTACATGTATTTAGCAATTTCATTTTAACAAAATTACGTGCCTAAAGTTCCATATCAAATAAGACAATTTCGTGTTACAAGTATCAAAAAAATTGTAGAAATTAATTCTATATCTGATTCTGTGTCAATGGAAGAGACTGATACTTACTTCTAGCTATATTACAGACAAGGGAAGCCGCTTCCACGATGTTACATATCCAGCCGAGAAACCATCCAAGTGTTTCCCTATTTAAAAGGAAAAAAATGTAATTATATCGGCAGAAAAAATGTAGTAGAATGAAGGGGTCAAAAATCATAGCATGCTCTTTTCACTGGAAAAGCACATGTCAAATATGGAAGCTCTACCTTCTCTCAATCAAACATTATAGTGGAATAATAATTCAATAATATGGAAAGACTTACCGGTAATTACATTAGACGTCTTTAAAAAGATCAAGAGGGGTGGGAGGGGCACACAGTAAGAAATTAAAATAAAAAAATAAGTAGAAGTCTTTTTCTATAAATATAAAAAAAAATTATGCAGGGTACATTTTACAAGTTTTACATTTTCCACCTTTTAGAATGGACCCGGAGAGAGAGAGAGAGAGAGAGAGAGAGAGAGAGAGAGAGAGAGAGAGAGAGAGAGAGTAACAACTGCAACACCGTTCAAAAATAGAAATCAAAAACCGATACACAGAATTATGTACCTTAGTGTATTTAACTTGTGTGCCAAGTTATATTAAAATCAGACCTAAATTACGGGGAGTAGCATTTTGAAAGAATTTCACAGAAATTTCTATTTTCAGTAACCACGGCAACATCGTTCATCGAAATCAAAAACCGATAAACAGATTTATGTACCTTAGTGTAGTCTACATATGTGCCAAGTTATATTGAAATCAGACCAATTCTGTAGGAGGAGTAGCATTTTGAAAGAATTTCGTTGAAATTTCTATTTTTAGTAACAACGGCAACACCTTTCATCGAAATCAAAAACCGATATACAGAATTATGTATCTTAGTGTAGTCTAATTGTGTGCCCAGTTATATTGAAATCAGAGAAACATATGCTTTTGATGATGAGGAATCAGATGACATTTTGAAAGAATTTGATGAGAAATTTTGATTTTGATAACCACGGCAACACCGTTCCGTTTTCGAAATCAAAAACCGATATACAGAATTTTCATGCTTTGATGGTAGCTCTACTTGTGTGCCAAGTTATATTGAAATGTATTAAAAAACTGTATACGAGTAGCATTTTAAAAAATTGTTTACATACACATTGAATTACGGAAAATCGATTGTGTACTGTGAAGTTGACCTATGTCTGAATAAATTCCTACATTTTGTTTATTTGTATGTAAAAAATCAGGTGCATTTACTACAATTTTTAAAATTTCCAACGATTTTTACTATGAGGTCATGAGAGAGAGAGAGATTTGAGAGAGAGAGAGAGAGATTTCGAACCTGTTAACTGGATCGCATTTCATTAAATCTTTACATTTTTTCTATTTTTCTTACTCTTTCTCTCATCTAAATTTGAATATCTATATCAATCCACTGTTGCACTTTTCTTGAACAAAGTCTTTTGAAAATAAAGAAATTATATTTAATGGAATGCAAAAATAGTTATTGGTAATTTATAAACATTAGTATGATGACGACAACGATGTCATGATGTTGACGGCATTATGATGATATTACTGTTTGCAGCTAACTGTAAAGTTTCACGTTTCGAAAACTTTTGTCCTTTGTTGTGTTGGTCAACTCAAATTATCAACATTTTAATTTCTTATTAGACATTTTCCTGAGCATACCATAATTTTTACGTAGCGCAGTGCTCCATGACGTAAAACTTGGCTGTGTTTAAATTATGTGTTGATCAGTTTATAAATGGCTACAAAACTGTCATATACCATCCAATTTGACGTAAAATTTCGTGATGTTTTATAGTTATGCAAACAGGTAATATATGACATCTTTTGCACTACAATCGTGCAATTTTATAATATTTATCACTATCAGAAACATATGCTTTTGATGATGAAAACATTGATTTTGATGACGACCACCTACCTATTTCCTGTATGGCCGTTTTCAGAGCGTTGAAAGCATCTCGTATTTTCTCGGCGAATCGTTTCAGTGCTTTGATGGTTGCTCGAATAGTTCCAAGGGCCCCTATAAAATGTATTAAAAAATCTCCTGTTATACATATAAGTTACATTTTTTACTGAGGAAAATAAATTATTTCATGGAGATGCGCAGATACAGATGTACATTTATCTTGTAAATAACAAGATCTACATGTAAAACAACGGTAATGTGTCGACCAAACACTTAATACAAACTTTTGTTGCACTAGTATTGAGACGTCAACATTTGCTGGTGGATGAACTGTACGATGGAAAAATGTGCGGATTTGTTGTCATACCACCGCCTACTGCAACTTGGGACATCAGTTAATACAGACCGCAGTGGAATCAAATCTGCGGCGTAAGGAGCAACTCTTATTCTGTGACTCAAACCACTGCACCACGCCAAGAACTCACCAGATGTAAAATGTTATAAGACTGGAGATCGTTCTCTCGTCTGAAGTATAACTGGCTGATATTATAAATGCATTTAATAAATTTTCCTACATTGTACATGTACGGATAGTAGAAGCTAGGTCACATGAGGGTGTGTGTGAAGGTGGGGGTGGGGGGGAGGGTGTGTGTGAAGGTGGGGGAGGGGGGGGGTGTACACATCTTAGATTGTGTACACATCGTTTTGATTTGTTTGACGCCCATCTCGATTTTTCCTCCTATTGAAACGCAACAACTTGCCGTATACTCACTCAGCACTTAGGCCATAACATTGATGGATCTTTTTTCTTGCCACCATAGTCCTTTTCTAACACGGAATCTCACTGAGTCTATAAATAAATACGGTCTCAAACTAGGACCAGTATCCACAACCCGCGGTATTGTAAAAATCAACTCCACCTTCTTCCACTATAGAGCAAACGCTCTAACTACTGCACCAAGCGGATCACATAAGATTTAATTCGGACGATGTAGAGAGCTAGAGAGGGAGTTTTAGGAATGTATACCCTTTGGAATCTAAACTTTATAAAAAAAAGTGATCTGGACATTGATACTGTTGAACTTGAAAGTGATAAGGTTTTTATCAAAATAAATATTCTAAAGATTTTGGGAATAAATAAATAAATGTATGTTACATAAGGTCTGGTATTGAAAAGGGAGGTTGGGGGGGGGGAGGGGGGGGGGCTAAGAGATTTTTATGCATAAGAGGATCTCCGCCCACACACGACCGACTTGATATTATACATGTAAATCTAAATCTACCTGCCAGTGGGTTGGATATTTTGTCCATGGCTTCCTTTGACTGATTGTAGGCCAGTTCCTGTCCGCACGTGATGCTGTTGGACATGATCTTGATGTTTTTGTTGAAGTTAGCGGCGGGATACGTCATCACCAGTATCATGGCGTATAACAGTAAGAAGGAACGGCCCTTACCTGCAATAAATATAGAAATCATTTTTTTTTTTAATGATCGACTTTTCATCTCTTTTCAAATTTTTATATTTTTTTTTTATTATCAATGTCCCCCAATACCCCTCCGGCTTGTTTAGGGAGTCAAATATGACAACAAACATATTTTTTTTATTTAAAACTGACTGTAAGAGGATTACATGTGCATAAAAGATCTAGAGCAGTTTTTAGCCCTTTATAACCAACATTACTCTAAAGAATATTTTTTTCTTAAAAAAAAATAGGATTGTACCATAATTTTTTTCGCATATTTAAAAAAACACTTGGTTTTTTTTTTTTTTTTTTTTTTTTTTCAGGATAAGTTATAGTTTGCAGTCTATAAAACAAATATATAAAGAATTATTGTAAAATATTTACTAAATTAAAACAATAGTACATATTCCTGTTAATTTCCTTTTGTTTTTGTTTTTTTAAAGTAGTAAAGTAGTTTTGAATTACAAATCGACCCTATTAAACAAGCAGAATTGAGTAGTCATGTATATTAACTTACTTGAAAAGAACTGCGGAATCATCAGAAGAATCACACATCGAACCTCCATAGAGAACGCTAAGCCAAGTGTAAAGATAGGACTTAGTATGACCCCGATCGTCAAGGCAACGGGGGGTTCATAGTTAGACTGGAAGATCATAACCAGGTACAGGAACACCCCTAGGAAAATACCGCTAAAGAAACCTGAAAAGATCGACGCAAAGACAATTTAGTGTTATGTTCGAAGGGAGATTACTCAAGTAAAAACAACGAATTTGTAAATATTAAGATCGGACATCAAGGGGTATAAAAGATTTTTGCCGATCATGAATATCGGAAAACATTTGATCGGGCCGGGGATATAAAAAACGTAACAAAGATATTGCATTCCTCATATTAATTATTTTTACATTATAAGAACTTGAACGCAATCCCTCTGCCTGTCCAAAAAAAAAATGCAAGATCTACGTGTATTAGAAACATTTTTTTTTATTTTTATTAAAAAAAAATCTATTTTCAAAATACCTTTCATTGACACTACCCTCCCATTAAAAATAATAGATCAAATATAATTTTTTCCGCTAATGGAAAAAAAAAATTAAAAAAAATACTAAAATAAAATACCTCCACAGTAATAAAGTAACACCGAAATTGAGTAAAAAAAGGATCAAAGTTTGTACATTTAGCATTTTCAAGTGTTTTATAATAATAATAATAATAATATTTAATATAAAAAAAAAAAAGGAATAAAAGGAGAAATGCTAACATTTGAGTCAGTTTACATATTTTAATTTTTATACATTTTAAATATTTTCTTATTTAAAGATTTAGATTAAAAAAATATTCTATTTTAAATTGTTTAATTATTTATTGATTCATATATCCGTGATAATAATTCTGTATTTTAAATTACCCAGAAAATGTTTCAGCATCTCGTGTTCGTGTGTGCCCGCATGGAATGCCCGTCTACACCCGGAACTCGGAACCTCTCTGACTCTTAGGTGTCTGTTGCGGTCGTAGATACAGCAGGGACAGAACAGCTCGATCAGGAAGATACGTATTCTCCGAAACAACCAGATAGTGATTCTCTCATACCTGTCAGATCCAAGGAGCGGATCCAAAAAAAAAAATTAAAACGCAATCCTGCTATTTTAATTGAAAATATGAATGTGACAATGTAACATACATGTATAAATTGTGTGTTCTGCAAAGTATTTTTACTTTTATTTAAAAAAAAAAAAACTGTCCTAGTTCAAATCTATAGGTTATACAAGACGATGTATAAATGGTAAGCCCCCCCCCCCCCCCCCGATTACAATGAAATTACCTTTTAAAAAATGAATTCTCTTTCGATGTTGTTGATACATGTAAACATGTACAGCCTGATCAAACTGTTATACCGAAGGAAGGAGAGGGGGTGGGGGTCATGGAGGGGAACGACCACCAGTCCACTGGCTACTTATTCCCCTATACATGCCGCATTTATAAAACACATATCAACCCATGCTATGTGCTGTAAATACCTTTGATATTTATAAGCATTCATAAACAAGAAGAGAGAGAGAGAGAGAGATCCCCCTGACTGGGCTGAGATTTTGAGATTAGCATGACACTGAGTGACTGGCTCGGTGTCTGGGGCAGGGCTGTATTATACACAGACAGTCTTCTGTACATATATATGAGTAAATCAAAATACATGCCGTTGAGCAATTATACAGCCTTAAAAATTATAATTCAGTATTTTCAATGCCGATGAGTTTAGATTTCATTTGGTGACACTCACAGCCATAAGTCTTCCTAGCTGAGTAGCATAAGAAACTGAACTTACCAAGGGATGATAGGCGGATACCCGTAGTGGAGACGTACACCATTTTCCTTCGCGCGAGACAAACGCATCAGCGCCAACTTTATCTTGATCATCTTTATAATCATTCGTGGATCCGACATTTTGTTAGTTTGGTTGTGATCTTACTATGAACACCTATAGGCCCTGTCTTCTGTTTACTTTTCGCAGAAAATTCCTGTGACGTCACAGTGAGGGAAATTGCGTCATTTCATCAAGTAGCTTCAACAAGTTCTTTTCGACATTTCTCCTAGAAAATCTAAATCTGCTCATTTACTTGATATAGGCCTATGTAATGAATATATTCCATTATATTTTGAAATGTAGATGTAACATAAAACATGTTCACCTCATTTTTTTTAATCTTGAATAGTCCTAGAATATAAAACGTTAGTCAGCATATTTAAAATTGAATTAAAAAAAAAAATCGTCGCCCTGGCCTCAGGGCGCAGTGATAAGAGCTTTAAATCTTCAATCTGCTCCATGTACTCTATAGTAAATATGAATATTTGATCATTACGTCGCGGGTTCGAATCCCACTACAGGAGTATGAGACCGGTACTTCTGGTGAGACGGATATCGATATAAATCGAGGTCCCGCGTCGCGTTACGTGCTGGGCTGCTGGCACGAAAACGATCTCTTAGTCACTGCTTAATGATCCTAGTCCTAGTGTGGAGTAAAAGGTCAAATGTTCCTGTTGTAGCCCTCCTAGTGGAGGCGTCTCCGTATGGAAGGGACGGTAAACAACAAACAAAAAATAATAAAATGTCTAAATTGTTACAGATAAATATATTTTTTAATCGGACGAAAAAAAAAAAATAAACAGTCAAACTCTATAGACATAAAATATAGACAAATTAACTTGTGTCATTTCTATATTTCGGTTTCCGATATCCTTTTCCACCTTTGTTAATTAAGTTATATACCGTAAAGAACAGGTCGGAAATGATAACTATGGAAATAGCTAATACAGGAATGATATGAATATAAGGTTAGCATTACGAAAATGAATATTTAACACAAGTACCCCCCCCCCCCCTTGCAAAGATAGACATAACATATACGTATTACATTTTTTTTTTTTATTTGAGTAAACCCCGTCTCCTTTTTTCAAGATTTCTTTTTCGACGCCAATTTTCAGCTAAACCAAAACTAAAGAGAATACGCTCAAAGCTTGTTTAAATAAAATGACGTTTCTTTATTAATCATAGAATTATTGATTAATTTTGAAATAAATCAAAATTTCAATCTTCTAAAGACATGTAATGGACTAGCTGGGACGTGGGATATCGGCGTGGGCAATTTAGTTGGTAAAGGGAGAATCTGGCTAGCGATTCAGGGTTTCAATTTCAGATTTCCAGTCCCGTCATACGTTTCCTCCTTTCGCGATCCACTTGTAATCAAAAGCACATGATATATTTTCTATGCATAATTTTATTTTAAATATTTTTTTAGCAATATTCAACTTTTTCAAAAAACATAATTCATATAAATTTTTTTTTTCAATATTCAATTTATCAAAAAAAATAATTGATATAAATTAAAAATAATCATTCAAATACTAGTATATTCAAGAAAAATCCCGAAAAAATGATTTCTATGTAGATTTGTGTCGGGTTTAAAAGACTAACACTGCTTGGTTTATAATTTCCGAAACTTTTCCTAAAATGTTCTATAACTCGATCTGTTTACAACCAGTCTACTGCTACTGAAATATAAATACTTAATGTAAAAAAAAAAAAATTAGGCCCTATAAGTAATTTAAAAGTTATGTATATACTCGTACCTGTAAAAATATTTGTAAAAATCTACACTTCCTGCTAACAATAGAATTAATTGATGGCTCAATTTCTACATGTACAGATTGTGTAATAAAAATGTACTGCAACTCCCAACTCCTTTTCATGCATTATTTTTTTATTATCTGTGCACATCAGTCTCGAAAAGATCAAAATATATTACATGTACATGTATATACAGTGTACTTCAAAGAAAATAATAATTTGAAACAAATATGGCATAGACGTCGGAACCGGGGATGGGAGGACTTACCCCCCCCCCAATTTTTTCCAAAGGTAGACATAGTATATGGCCTTGAATTTTGGCCTTGGGCGAAAATTAAGCCCTCCCCCTCACTTTTAACAAGCATGTAGCAGTTTAGTCAAAAAAAGGGTGTGTGGTACTGTAAGTAAAAAAGAACTGAATGACGCTCGATCCTAACCCCCACCCCCAGCCCACAAAATAGGATTTTCGTGTTTGGGGAATGGATGGATTTTACCTTGTGATTTTGTTTTTATGCTTGTCAATTTTTTTTTAGGTTTGAATTTGTTCTCTTACACTTGCCCCCCCCCCCCCCCAATATTTCAATTTGCTTTCGACGCCAATGTATGGCAATCAACCTTTATTTATTTATTTTTGTTGTTTTATTGTATATAACATTTTACGAGTTTAATTTTCTTAAAATTTCTTCCGTGTTCCGTCGTTCTTTGAATAAAAATATGCATACAAATTCAAAAACTACAGTGCCTGTAATGGACATGTATGTGAATAATGGGAACGTGTATCAATATATATTCTAAAGTAAAAACTATACACAATTAAATTCATAAACTACAGTGCCTGTAATGGACATGTATGTAAATAATGGGAACGTGTATCAATATATATTCTAACGTAAAAACTATACACAAATGTACTAATTACTTAAACAAAAATAGATATATTCAATTTCATAAAAAATCAGTATATGCCATTCACATAATTAGTTCTTAAGGACTTGTATTTGCGTAAATATTTTCCTCCATTTTGGTGACCTCCTGTCGTCCTTGAGCATTCTCATAAATGTGGTCTTTGTAGGCGGAGAAGAAATTTGCCACAACCTTACAGCAGCACTGGTATTCGGACTACAGAAAAAAAAAATGGAAAATACAAAAATAACACATAACAAAGATGATGTTACTATGCGTATTTAAAAGAAATATTAACTTAAAAGGTGGTTGAAGGTAAGTCTGTACTCCCCCTCTCACTCTAGATATATGTACATGTATTTATTATACTTCTGTTAAAATGTTTCCTATATAAAGTAATAAAGGTAAAATAACTATTTTTCTATAGTCTAAAATTTCCACGCATAGGAAAGCTATACCCCGGGGTATAGTTTTTACTATCCACCCGGGAAATTTTTCATGCAAATTTTAGCACCAATTTTCATTTTCTGTCATTTGATTGGTCAGCGGTACCTCAAACACTGAAGAGTTCCAACCGTGCATCAGTATAATAAAACGCTTATCCACTGGCTGTGAGTTCTCGGGGAATAGTTCCCTGTTGCAGGTTTGATAAAGAAGCTATCCCACTAACAGCCAGTGGATAAGTGTATACTTTTAATATAGACCACTGCTACAGTACTGTCATGTTGTAAATTTTGAATTTACCGGGTGGCAGTAAATACAAAATTTACAACATGACAACTAGACAAAACTACAACATGAGCACAAGTTGTCATGTAAGTTTTGTATTTACTGCCACCCAGTAACTCCACTATTTTACAACACGACAGTGCCAAATAACCATTTTATTTTTCAAAATTCACAAAATCAGAAAAAAAGATCTAGGTTTTGACCTTAAAAAATGTCTGTTTTCCTTTTATAATTGACCCTAAGCTATTTTGTAACACCTGTAATATAATTTAATGTATTTCCAGTGAAAACCTAAATTTAACGTTCCAATGCATACCATGGTAGAAATCATTTCCGGTCTACGCATTTGTAACTGCCGGACTATAGTAAACATGTCTACTTCATTGTCCTGTTGTAGCTGTTGTATGGCGTTATACACGGCACAGAAAATTCCACATCCAGTCGCACCATCTCTGTCAGAATCAAATATATTTTATATGAATATCTTCATTTAAATCACTCCTAATTTGAAAAGCTGAACAAAATAGACAAGAAAAAACTCCCCCTTCATGCTATGAAAGCAAAATTACATTTATTTAGTTTTCATATATGTAGTTTACATAAGTATTTTTCAACAACTTTTATTATAACGATATAAAGGGCCCTATTAACACAGAGATCATGACTATTTCTGGACTAGGACAAATTAAGATGCTTTAATAATCCAGAAAAAAAAAAATCTTCAACGACAATAAAGAATTGATAAAAAAAAAAACGTTTTTACCTTCGCAAAAAAATAATTCCTCCTTTTTTAATTACACAAAAACATGTTCCTAAATTCACCTTGACAAAACTGTTATTTTCGTGGACGGATCCTTGACGTACTCCTGAATTGTGTTCATCAATTCTACAAGCACATCCTCTTCTGCTGGAAGTTTTTCACTACCCTTCCAGTTAAAAACTTCGAACACTTTTACTGTGTGCCATTCTGAATCCTGAAATTTCCGGTAGTATAATTTTTTTTTTATATAAAATACTAGCCATGGATACATTTAATTTATATCATCTAGCAGACATACAAACATTTCGTGGATAATTGAAGGAAAAAAGGAATTTTAACATTTTATCTTTATTTTAAACATAGAATTAATTGTGAATTTCATTGTCAAAGATTGTCAACTGCAAAAGTCAGTGCTTCTCACAAAAGTCTATTAGTTGATAACACTTCAGTTCTCTATTTTACCTTGTCATGCTTCATTTTTAAAACAGTCATCTTGAGCTTGTTTGACAAACTTCGACCTGTACCAAGCATCGTCTTATACGGCGAGATGACGCTTTTCTCTGCTGAAGTCGTCATCCACTCTGCTGACTTTGAAAAGAGTTTAGAAATGTTGAAATTTTTTTTATTGATTATTAGTAAGTGGACCTGGTGAAAATTAATTATTTGCATCCTAAAATTAATTCATTGTTTTCTTATTTTGGTTCAAGAAGAAAGAACTTTAAATGAAAATAAAACATTTATTTTTATTTTTATTTTTTTTTTTTGGCTATAATTATGTTATAATTTTTGTTGTAATAATTTCCCCTTTTTATTACATTAACAATAAATATTCTTTATCAAAACTAAATATTATGATAATAATTATTTCTTACAGATGCAATATCTGAGAGTTGGTTGACAGACACCAAAATAGAGCATTCCTGATCAATGAGCAAGCGCACTAAATCGACTGCAGCGCCCTCTACTGGGTACTGTGCAGCAATTATTCCTCCTTTTAGAGTGTACGACTGTGCATAACGTGAAAAATATAATCTTATGAAAAATACATATTCTATATAGTTATATTAAATAATTTTGAAAAATTAAATATAAAATTACCAATTAAAAATGAAACTGTGTAGAATTGATTGACCTACTGAAATTGAAACGGCATTGTAGTAGCTGCCACGCCCTCGAACGTATGACGTCAGCGATACTCTTACATCGTCAGCTGTTTAAATAAAACAATTAAAACATATATAGATATGGATATAATAAAACAAATGATATCAATTTTCGACAAACTATTTTAGCCCCGAAGTACCAATTTGTATTTTATATAATTTTGAATAATTTTTTAGGGGGAAGGTTAAATGTTAAGAAATTCTCGTTGTTTTGTCATTCTTTGTTGTTAAAAAGGCCAAATATGAGGTATTTGGCAATGTTAGGCATCATCATACAAGAATATTAAACATTTTTGAAAATTAAAATCATCAATAGACCATACATCATTGTATTATGCAGAAGAATTATCTATGCTGTGGTACTCGAAAATCACAAAATTCTTAGTCATCTTTTTCAGATTTGAATGTATTTTCATTGCTTCCATACAATACATTAACAATATTATTATTTTGTTTTCTTTCTCCCTGTTTTTTACCTGGAAGAACAGTTTGCGTCATGTTTAGATCGAGGTTTTCTCGAGCTTCTTTAGTATCTTTCTCCTCCAATACAGGTCTGTCTGAGAGAAGCTCCTGCAGAAAGAAGAAGAAAGTTAAGTATCTACTCACAACGAAAATATAATTTATATTAAAGCAGTTGTGTGTGTACATTTGTAAGTAAGTGTGTGAGTTAGTTAATTCTGTGCAAAACGGAAGTGACATAATTTGCATCGGGATCTATGTCGAATTTGCCATGATTTATTGGTATGCCCTTCAGCTTGTGATGCAAATATTTGTTATAGAAACCTTGACACTGATACTAAAAAGTAAGCATTTGTAAGTGTGGCAAAATTTCATTCATCAAATACATTAAATACATTTAACATTGAAGGTAATAAAAAAATGAATAAGTCTTTGTCAATCACTTTGTATCATTATGATGATTTTATACTCACATATTTTTAAGGACATATTAAGGAGTTAAACAGACTACACATTTTTAAAAGACAATATTAAAATTACTTTATTCAAAGTATTCCGTTTTAAAGACCCCGAAAAAAAATCATGCATGACTAGAAGTAAAGAAATTTTTAGAAACATACATTAAACCGCTTTTATTTTTCCTTACTCGATGACACTTTGAATTTCTTTCTTAAACTCCTCAGACTCGTCTATACTCACATTGAACTCTTTCTTGAACTGAGAGGCGTTTGCAGCTTTATTTGACATTAACTGTGACGTCACTTCCTCAATGAAGTGTTCCTTACTCAGTAGCCTCCCTTTGGTTTTGAAAATCTCGTACAGAGCTTTGTACAAGAAGACGTACTGATCCTGAAAATAACCAGATTTTCTGCGCATTGCTTAAAAAAAACTTCTTTTTATTATATTACTATATAATGAAGATTGAAAGATGAGGTCATGTAAGTTTTAACCATCAATGAAATTTCCAGGCGAGGTTTCAATATCAGAATACATGTATTTCGACATTAATTACCGTAAGTATGATAGGACATTTAGCAGACATTTTAATAAACATTGCTAATAGACAAAAAAACCACACATAACATACCTCATTTTGTATCATGTTCATACGATCTTCTCTCATGATCTTAACGTACTCTACTATGTCTATCTTTCCCTCTTTCTGTCCGTGTTTGTACAGGGCGTCTAATGCAATAAAGGTCCCTGTCCTACCAATTCCTGCACTGAAAAGGAAGAGTGAAATGAATGTGATATTCAAATCAATGTGGTTATATGTATTACCTACCCTCAATTACATTTTTATTTTGCAAAAGCCAAAATAGGATTTTACAAAAAGACATGACACTTGAAAAACGTACTGGGTGTACAAAAGCAGCAATACTGATAGAAAAATGAGAAAAACAAGATGTTTTTCGTGAAACACTGATGCCCCAAGACGGTCACCGTATGGCAGCTTTTGGCGAGGGTTGAATTCTCTCATATGCATGTAAAACTCCAAAGGTCAAGGTCAAAAGGTCTAAAGTGAAAGAACCTAAAGGAAGGTCTTGCTACAAGGAATGCATCTGTGATTTACATGTATGAAAGCCCAGGTAGTTCTAACAGTTCAAAAGTTATGACAAAGGTTAAAGTTTTTATAAAAGGGGGTCAAAATTATTTATACCAGCTGTAAAGGTCTTGTCACAATGGATACACATATGAATAATGAAAACCTTAGCTCCAATTGCTCAAAAAAATTATAGCCAATATAAAAGTGTGGTAATTTTTGTAAAATTAGATCAAACCCAAAGGTCAAGAGGTAAAATTTGGGGGTGCTTAAAGAAAGGTCTTCTCAAAAAGAATACTCTTGTGAAATATGAAAGCCATAACCCCACCATCTCAATATACCCCTGTTTTTGATGGGCATATTGATTTAAAGATCTATCATCGCCTGTACTTTCAATTTTTCAACAGACAAACAGAGAGACAATATTTGACAAAGAGATTATAATTAAGATTTTTTCAATCAAAATGTTGGTATTTGGTTCTATTTTTTTTTTCTGACTCAAAGTAGGTATTAATGCAAAAGAAAAAAGAAAGAAAAAAAATGAATAAATAAAAAATAAATAAATGTATCAGAGTCAAGGAACCAATGTACAGAGTAAATTGAGTTTTCAACTTAAGCTTTCTTTAAGTTTTTTTCCCTTGACCAAGGAAATATGACTCATGTTTTAATATATTATGCACATGTGCATGTGCATAGCAACGCATATTGCATGTTCATTTATTCAGTAATTTAATTATGCATATGATTTTACTAGCAGCACACTTCTTCAGCTGAAATACATAATTATTCATTTAACCTGTAGGTATTGGTTTTTAAATTATTCTATTCCAGAGAGGTCCAGAGTTAGCTATATTCTGGCCAAGATAATTTTGTATCTTGTAGTTCCATTGTTTTTTTTAGTGTTGTCTTATGCTTTTCTAGTGTTTTTTTTTCCTCCAAGTTTTCTTTGTGTTTTTGGTCAATTCTTGCTTGGTTGCCACATGTGATGGAAGTGCAGTTTTGTCATTGAGTATACTTTGTTTTACGTATTAGACATTGACATTAAGGCATACATTTCCTTGCATGGTAAGTAAATCTTTCATATACTAATGAGTAATAAGATTCTAATTTTAATTAAATTTGAAATCTGTAATTTTTGCACTTAATTCCTTAAATTTTAATTTTCTTGGGGTAAATGAATAGTGGGAGTGAGACCTTAGATAAAGAGTTATGTGTAAAAAGTTATTATATTGCTGTCTCACTTTTTCATATTTTCAAAGTAAACTTTATTTTATGATTAGTGTAGATATCTATAAAGTTGTTTATTGTTGATTAGTAGATATTGAGAATTTTTACCCTATAGCTGTCTAGTGTAGGCAGCTTATTTACTGTTCAGTATATGACCCATTCCCATTGAATGGTGTGGATGTTCATTGTTTTTATACCAAACCACAATTCATAATGTACATATACATTGAAATAATAATTATTGTAAAATTTTCATTATAAATATTCATTGATTAATATTTACATTTCCAATAAATTTCCCTTATCATTCTTTACAAAATAAAATGCAGTATATTTTCTGGGATGAACTACATTAGGTATGTATCAAAAAGTATGATTATATCTGTCTCATTGTTACGTCATAAGTTCAAAAAATATAGTGCATATATCACTGTTTTGTTTTAAAAATGACAGCTGAACGGCAAAAATTTATGGCAAATCATCAGAAAAATAATGTAAATATAAGAAATGAATTTAACTTTTTGAAGATTCATGATGTTATGAACTACGACGCTTCACGTCGGCATATTTCATGAAGCGCGATTCAAAAATTAAATTCATTTCTTAAAAGAAGTGGAAGATATTATTGTGGAATTTTCATTATATATAATTATTGAGTTATTGTTATTGAGTTATCTCCTTTGATTCTGATAAAGCTATCTATAATATATTGATTGTAAATGTTTATTGATTAACAGCTTCATAGTTTTATGCTAAATATTTATAATTTGTTATTTCATTATAAGGTTTTGATCATTTTCGTATTCCATCGTAAAAAAGAGTCATCGTCTTGTTCAAAACTCGAACCAACAGCCTTGTCTCTTTAACATCCAGCGCAAGTCACAAAAAAAATGTAACTGAAAGATTTAATGACAGCTTTTGATTGAATATTTAATGAATGAATTTAATTTTTGAGAGTTCACGAGGAGTTGAACTATGACACTTCACACAGGCATATTTCAAGTCATGATAAATATGCATGAAACGTAATAATTTATGTACCTCATTAATACTCAGAAATTAAATTCATTTCTTTTCATATGTTCATTATATTTCTGATGACTTGCCAAATATATTTAAATAAGTAATTCAACGATTATTTTTTGAAAAAAGTTTGAACTATCTTCTCTTACTTCAGTTACATCGCATTGGAAATATTTTTACTCAAGCATGCTAGTTCTTGAAGAAAAAAAAGAATTTTTCCTAATTTGCAAGGAATCTTGGGGAAAACATTTTGTAATGTAAATATATGTTGTTACATCTTACCTACAGTGCACAACTAGTAGGCTCTCGGGATACATCAGCATTAAGCGCATGACATGGCGATAAAAGACGAGGAGTTCTATTGGTGAAGGCGTTCCATGGTCGGGCCAAGCCGTAAATTGAACTTGATTGATAGTCTTCACAACGTTTGTCTGTTGTAAATGAGGAACACAATTAAAAATTTACATAGAGTAAACGAAAGAACAACATTTTTGCTGGTAGTTTTTAAAATGTCCTTACAATTTAATTTGAAAAGATAATCAATGAAAAAAATTATACCAAGAAACATTAGGGAAGCATTTCTGTAAGTAAGGTTTCCCCATAAATGATATAAAATATTCCCATGCACCAAAACTCCTGGCCCAGGGCATAGCTCACATTTGATCTCGGTCTCACTTTTCAAAATTTAATGTTTTAAGTAAGCTTGTCTGAATTTAAGTTTTGTGTGTCAATGTATTTCAAATGTTAAATGTGAAAACTATGAACCATTTTTGTTAAGTATTCCATAAAGCTATTTCTGTCTTATTGTTTCAAAGCTGACCTTCTTATTTGTCATGTTGATGTCACGTTGTGTGTAGTTGGCGTAGTCCTTTTGTGACATCAGCTGTAGACAGAACTGTCCTGACGTCATCTGTTCCCCTTGTCCCGGCCAATACTGCTCACACTTTATCTGTTTTAAGGGATCAATATGAGGATCAATGTGGAAATTAAGTGCCAGGGCAATTTTTATAAAACATTTATAAAGGAACTACTCAGCTATCAAATCAATGATTTAGGTCTTAACCTTTGAGTTGCATTATGTAATTCAAGTTTGCTTCACGCTAAAAAATATGCAAAAGATGTTGGTTTCATATCAAGTTGCAAAAAATGTATTTAAAGGACATGTTTATCTGATTAGTAGATTTTAAACTAAGTAATTTCTATGATTTTTAGAAAAAAATTGTCTTTCTCCAAAAATACTGTTTCATTCAATATATTTATTTAGCTGTAGAAATGCATGCGGAATTAAAATATACGAACGTGTGACTAATTAAAATAAATTATGAAGATACCTTTGATCCTTCTATCAAATTAGTAACCATGACAATAACCCGGATGTCTTCTTGCCAAATCATTTCCCAGAAATCTTGTACCGTGTTTTTTCTTGGCCCTATAAAATGCACAAATATAATTTTACAACTACTCGATGAAAAAAAAACAACACATTTTCAAAATTAAATTATTCCTCGAGGGCACCTTATCCCACCCCTGATGTTTTGGAGGTCTGTGTTTTCTCTGCTCCTATTTTGTATTGGTTTATGGACTTTTGATTTTGAATACTGTTCGTTTTCCCAAAGTGTTTCATTACTGCAGCAAACATATATAGATTTTTATGATTATATTTATTTGTTTTTAGGGAAAAAACCAAATGATTTGTCTTTTCTTAATGTTCTATTGTCGAGAAAACTGCCAAAACTATTTTTACAATCTAACAACGCAAGCAGAATTTTGTTCTTTAACAAAATATCTGGAAACAAAATTTTGATTCTAATTTTGCTTTGAGCTGGTCAACCGTCTACTAGAAATATCATTACCTTGTTTATCTTTCGATTACTTAATATTTACAACTTTTCTTCCAATTTGGCATTGATCTTATTTATGAATGTAATATATGGAGATAACGAACAATATCCAAGCTCAAAAGTCCATGAAACAATACAAATAGGAGCAGAGCAAACAAGGGCCTTTAAAACATCAGAGGTGGGATGAGGTGCCATGGAGGAGTCGGTATCTTCTGTCTACCGTTCACACCCGCCGTGTGCTCCTTGTCAAGATCAGGAAATAACGGGAAAAAAATTCGTCGTCAATTCAATGTGTAAATAATAATTGATAAAATATATGGTTTTGCTGCTGATCGATTCCTCAAGTGTTACAAATTTAGATACACTTTTAAAGAGACTCACCTTGGGTAGCAATATAACGCCTCTTCCCTGCCACATCCTACAAAAATGTTTTGATTCAGTTTTTTTTAATTCCTTATTCTCTGTTCATTTGAAAAAAATAGATTAAAAAGGACATTGTTGCAATTTTATAATGCCTAGTTATAATGGAAACCTCCTTAAAAATAGGAATCATTAGCTAAAACTAAATTTGTTGATTTTTTTGTGTAAGAATATTTTATGATATCTAAAATTGACATGTATCATAAAAATTATCAGTGGAAAAGGTACGTTGTAGAGTCTGTGCACATATACCTTGCATATGCCTTAAAATGTTCATAAATTGATAAATGTTTTTATGTGTAAATTGTAGATTACTTCAAATTAAGAAATATTGAATAAATAGTACCTTAATGTAATTTGCATTGATGTAGTCATTATCCGGGGAAACATTCAACACCACGCGGGAATGGTCATCTTACGAAAAAAAATTATATTGACATTAAATTGTATGATATATGGCCATGCATTACACCTTTTTGTATATGTAAATATGAAATATTAATGAGGTTAATGCAAAGAGAATGTCCCGAAAAAATTAAAGATCTCTAAAAAAGAAAAATTCCATGTTTCAAAGTAATTTGAAATATGAATTTAAAATTGAATAAAAAAATATAAAATGGTCAATCAACTATTTAAATAATTTTATTTTTTCATCAACAATACCGTTTTAGTACTTTTAGCGTTTACATACACGGGAATGTAGTTTTGTATCTGTTTTTCGGCATGTTCTGTTGTAGTTTGGCCACAGAACAAGGGATATGCTTTTGCTCTCCATATGGTATTTGCTGGAAAAAAAACAGAATTCTTCAATGAAGAAGTGAAACATACAAAAACGTTAAGTTTAAGACATTTCAAGTTATATAAATGAATTTCGTATTGGATTTTATAACCAACATGTGAAAGGTGTTTTTTTTTAATTAGAAAATAGAAAAATCTGAATATAAAGGTGTAACATTAACTAGAAAGATTGGCAATTTCATGGCAAATCTTAAACAGTAGCAAATTCTTAATATTGTACAATCTCACTTGTTTGATTTCACTGTATAAATGCTCTTAAATACAATACAAATGAAATTATAGAGTTTCAGAAGAATGAATAACTTTTTTTTGGCTTGAATTTTAGCTGGCTTCTTTAGAATTATTTCCTTTGATTTTGTACATATGTATGAAAAGAAATACAAACTAATTTAATTTATTCTGATTTACCTTAAATTCTTCATTGAATCTCTTATTTTCCTCCGACGAAAATATTTTGATTATTTTTTCCAGATCAGTTATTTTGATGATTGTGTTTGTTAGACTGTTGTCTGTGACATAATTCTCTAGTAAAGCATTTTCTTCTACATTTCCACCGTACCCAGATGTGACAACATTGCCATTTGTTTCATTTTCTGGCGAATCTAAATAATTTTTCTTTATAAATATGTTTATCAGATTTAAATCAAATTTCAAACAGACAGGTCTGCATACAAAAGACTAATGTATATAAACATTGTGCCATATATTTAAATGGTATTTTTTTGAGAAAAAAAAAACAAACTCTTAAATCTTTCATAATTCAAAAAATTAATTCCTTTGTTACATGCACATATACATGCAATTTGCTGTTACTTATTAAATATCAATGTAACATTACTGTGATATATACTAAATAAATTTATGTATTTATACAACGAATTAATAATCCATAGGGTTTTATTATTTAAAGTGTAAGAAAGGCGATATACATAATATTTTTTTTTCTTTCCTAAGCTCTTCAATGTACATGTAGTCATACCGTTAATAGATAGTTTTTTCCTCTCTGGCAGTTCTAAATCAGCAGCTTTCTTTAGTCTTGCTTTCCTAGATACAATATATTTATAAATTTTGACAATGAAAATTAATGAACAGACTGTAAATAGTTTCTAGAAAGATAGTACAGAAAAAATAACATTGTTACAAAAGATTTCTCTTATCCTTCTTACCGCAAGAGAACAACCGCTAAAACTGTGAGTGCTATGATGACAAGTATGGTAATTGGAACACCTACTCCTGCAGCAGGGACTGTCGAATCCTGTGCTTGTGATTCTGCAACTGAATTGTTCCTCTTGAATTATTAACACGCTATTACTTGAATATATTTTTACATTTTTGCACAATCAAAATCAACCAGGAAGTTCCTTTTGATGAGACCATTTCAAACGATATCTCATGACACTACTGGCAATACAAAAAATTTCCAATATGAGCATAAGTGCCTAGTCCAGGTCAAAATATGGAGCCTTCAATTCAACAACATTTAAATTAATCCCGATATTATTTGAAGTGAACAAAAATCTAATATTTTGCATCCATTTTTTTAAAGAACATATCGTATATTGTCTATAGCAAAGCATTTCTGGCGATTATACAACGTAGTATACGACTTTTTAATGTAATTTTATATAATCCGGATGTGCAAGTTGTTTACTTATTGAATTTGTATTCGTTTAAACAGGAAAACATTATATGCATGATAAACACAATAGTCAGCATATGATTAAATATGCCTTTTTTCATGTTTTTAATAATGATCTGATAAGGATTTTCCCTGATTTTAAAAGCCTGGTTCTGTTAAGACCATGTAGATTGAGAATGTAAATAAAATATACAGGACAATGAGAATTTTTTTTATGTATTCACACATGCTAAAGTCCTTATAATAGATTGTTGTGTAGAGAAATCTGTGTTCAAGTTTAATACAAATGGTTATTAAGACGTACATGTAGAATGAAGAAAATGCATAGGTATTCATTTATACAAATTCTAAATCCGTTAGAAACCAAATTTTCTTTGTAATATTCACTAAATTTTACCAGTTATATTGCAGAAATCTCCTATATACCCCGATAGGCACTGATCACAGGCTCCTATTTTCTTATTGCAGATTGACAAACAACCTTTAGCACAAGAGAAATTGCAGCTAAATCCAAATGCCCCGTCGTCACACTCTAAATTACATTAAAAGCAAATAAAAAACATTTCGTAGATAGACAAGTTGAAAACTCAGTTTAATTGAATTTAATTGAATTTCGGATTAGATTTTTCGATTCTTAAAAGGCATGATCATAGTTTGATGAATACTTGTATGAGAACAAAATAATATAAACAGAAACATATGAACAAAAAGCATGCTGCCTTGAAATAATCACAGACCGATGTCACACTTCTCTCCTTGGTATCCAGGTTCACAATGTCTTAGACATAATCCGTTGATATGATTACAGGTCTCATGATCTCCACAGTGACCACACTTTTCCTGGCAGTCCTTGCCATATAGCCCGATACCACATGCTACAATGACAATTTTAAGAAAGGACTCTCATTCTATTTTAATATATTTACATTGTGCATATATCTGATATTATCAGAAATTATCTCTCTATGTCTTATCATTTTTAACGGAAAAGATATATCCAAAACAATATTATCAATAACATGCCACCAACTTCCTATGATATCCAGATATTTTTTAAATAAATCAAGGCAAAAACTAAACAAAATAAATCTTAAGCCACCAATCACATTCTTTTATTTTCTTATCTTTATTAAAAATCATCTAGTCGACTTACTTTCATTGCACTGGTCATTTGTCCAACCGTCACTACACCCTCCAGAACAAGCCCCATCAACTACATTACAGTGAACTCCCCCTGCACAGTGTCTACTGCAGTTATACATACAGTGCTTTCCAAAGGTTCCTTCATCACATTCTATAAACAGATATTTATGTGTACTAAAACTGTTTCAATGTATCATTTAACATGAAAATTTCAGCAAAGTTACTGAAAATGTATTATTGATTTCCATATCTTTTCTTTTGTCTGGCCAAATTGGTGAAATTTCACCTAAAATAAGATTTATTGTAAAATTATTTTAAAGAGTTTATGCATAAAGTGGCTCTGTTTTTGAGTCCAAAAGTATGTAGGTGTGTCAATGCTTAAAGTGAATTTGAAATGAAAACATTGTGTGCAGAATTGTCGTTAGCTAAATACGTCATCGTATAGGGGAATGATCACTTACATAAATGTAACTGGTTACTAGAGCAGGTTACTTTTTACCTTGATCACATCGGTTATCTCGTGTTTTCTTCCATCCTGGTTTACAGAGACCGGAAGGGCAGGAACCGGTCACGTGATCACATGTTTCCTTCAGAGCACAAGATCCACAGGACAAACTACAATTTGTACCGTAGTATCCTGTCTTACATGCTGTGAAAATAAGACACAATTTTCGACATGTTACAAAATCCCAAATGTTTTCGGTGTTTGGTTGATATATGAAGTAAAATACATATATACATTATTTACTCATGACAACCTGTGAGACAAACCAAATAGATATTGTCCTTATAAATCATTTGTTTCGAGTTCAGAAAAAAACCTAAAGCAAAGTTTTTTTTTTTCGAAAATAACTTTGAAGAGATTGTAATTAGAATTCAGATAACATATTCTTGCAATTACAAATTAACGTAAGGGTACAAAATCCCGAAAAATATGCTCTGATTGCAATACATCTTCAATTGCTAAGATGATTAAAAAAATCAATGACATACAACTGAATGTATCGTAATTATCAATTACATCATACAACATAGATTTACTTTCATTGCATTTGGGTGATATCCATCCATCTTTACAGCCTCCGGGACAGGCTCCGTTGGTTTTATTGCAGGATATTCCTCCTGCGCAGTGTCCACTGCAGTTTTTCTCACAGTTGTTTCCAAACGTTCCGTTATCACATTCTAGAAAAAAAAATGATTTGAAAATTGACATTTTTCCTCCACAAGATCTGCAAAATTGAAAAGACTCATCAATATACCTTTATTGCACATCTGGTCGTCTGTTTGTTTAAATCCAGGTATGCAGTCGCTAGAAGGACAAGAACCATTCACATGGTTACATTTTGCGTTTTTGGCACACTTCCCACAGCGTAATCTACATTCCATTCCATAAAAACCACGACTGCATGCTAGAAAGAGAATATTTTTCGCTCAACTGAAGAGCAGAATAGTTGTCAAGAAGATAAGATAATTTAGGATAACTATAATTATAAAGTCGCATTTCAGAAAAAAAGTTAACTTATATTCAAGAACAAAGATGTAAAGACAGAAAATTTCAGATGGAATAACAACTCTGGGTATTATAACATATCCAAAATAAGTACCGCGGTATTAAATCAAGATTGGTACCACATAAGCTTTTATTCAAACAAAAAAGTAACACTTTTTAAATAATTATTTTTGACATTATAATGATATATCAAAATAATTTAAACAAACGCTATGTTTAGCACACTGAATATTATGAATAGAATGTTATATAATTCGTTTGAAAGGAATTATACGCATGCATATACTATAATACTAAAAAAATATCTATGTTAGCTTTACCATAAAATCATTGTATCATCTATTAAAATAGCTTTCAAATTGGCACCAATAAAGTTATATAAATGAGGTATGTATCCAGGCATTTTACGCTATCATACAAAGGAATGAAATACGAGGGGCATTTCAAAAGTTCTGGCAACTGTTTAATAAAAAAGTAACTGTTTAAGGGAAATTATTGAGTTTGATATCAGTGGGAAAGATCAGAAAAATATGCACATATTGTGATGTCACGTTATAATTTTTTGTGACTTAATAACTCGAAAAATGACGGCAAACTTCCGCATGTTTAGCACACAGACCATAAAAATGACGTAACATAAGACACAATTTGATAAAATTGAAATTCTAAAAACAACTTTTGCCCATTACTCGGACGCAACTAACGGACGCAAATGCCAGTTGGTGGAATTTTAACATAGACTACAATCTATCATATGGTGTTCTATTTCAGAGATCTTCTTGTTCTGAATTGGTTTCAGCGATTGTCAAACTTAGCATGTTTTTATCGAATTTCGTTCAAACTTTAGCTTAAAAGAGACCTAACTGTGAGAAAAAGATAAAGTTGACAATCAAAGAAAATTTGACGATCCTGTTAGAAAAATTTGATGGCATAATTTCATCATGACTTTTTACCAGATGTATGGGATCGATGAAGGCTCAAGAGAAATAAAGTTTACTGTGCCTAACATTTTCTCATAAAATCCAAAATGGCGCCGCGCAATTGAAACTCCACCGAACCTCCGCATCTTCGTAAATTTTAATGCATGGGAAATAAACAGTATTTTACATATCTTTGTAACTTATAATCCTGTTGGGAGTCAAAATTCATAATCAGTACTGAGTTTTTGGGCGCCGAAGTTGAATTAATATGAAAAAATACGAACAGAAACAAGTAAGGGGCAAAACTTTTGTAAATTTTATTCGTAAATGGTAACAGTCTTTTTATTCAAAATATATTTGTTGAAAACTGCATTAATATACTTCAGTTTCATACAGAACATGTTTTATTTTGATACAATTGAGAGCTATATATACATGTATTCAATGAATGTCGATGATAGCATAACCGGATATAAACCGTGCTTGTTTAGAAACAAAACATACGATGAAATATGGAAATGCTGATACACAGTACCATATAGTCCTACTTTATCTCTTTGCAAATGAATTTTTTTTCAAATATTTTTTTTTTCAAATAAGGCTTTGGCATCACTTTTACGATCGTCTTATGTGGGTTAAAACGTTATTTTTCAATAATTCCAATCTTAATTTTATTTATTGATTCCCTGTGTTTTGATTGGACGAAAACAAATTCAAGAAAAAGTTTACACATCGATGAATTCTTCGATCAGAACTACTTTCTTGACTGTTGTAAAAACAATGAAAACAGATACTTCTAGTCCGTTTTATATTTAAATTATGATTAAAAGAAACTTGAAATAAAAAATGAATGAATGATCGAATGAATGAATGAAAGAGAGATAAACAGGACTGACAGACGGTAATATCATGTTTATGTCACTGTACGTCGGATCACGAGTGTGAATTTTAAAAAAAAATCGCTGATCATGCTGTCATTTTCTCGACGTTCCATATCAATTCAGTTGGTATGGTTGTGATAGGGAAAAGAAACGTACCTCAGACTCTTGCCTTTTTAGCATGAAATTCATATGTTTACATCCTACAGATCCCATATTCTCCCTAAATTTTTGAACGAACCAGGGTAAATCGAGGACGTCGTCGGTCTGCTACTTTCGTTATGACGTTGTTGTTTATGTCAACATGGCCATGGTCAAACACGAATTATTCTGGAGAATACGCGTATTTACGATATTTGTTGACTTAAACAACAATCAATGAGTTTTTATAAGTTTATTTATTGATTGTTTTGACAATTTAGGTTGGATTTTATCGATATTCATCTTGTATACGTTTCTTTGCAGCATAAAGTATTCCTACGCCGTACAAAATAACGGATTGTATGGCGGCCTCAAAGGGAAATAATTTTAATAATTTAAAAAATTCGTAATTGGAATTATAAGAATTAAACGTTCTTTTTTCAGAATTTATCGATGTGTAAACTCTGCCTTTTTACTCACAAACTTTACATAAAAGTGCTTCGCACTTTTATTCAGTTTGTGAGTAAAAAGGCAGAGTTTACACATCGATAAATTCTGAAAAAAGAACGTTTAATCCTATAATATATGCTAAACATTCTATATTCTGATGTCATTTTTGGAGTTATTACTTCATGAAAATTTTAACATGACGTCACAATGTGTGTATATTTCCTGATCTTTCCAAATATATCAAACTCAATAATTTCCGTTAAACGGTGAATTTTTTATCAAACAGTTGCCAAAACTTTTGAAAAGCGCCTCATAATCTTTCGTTTGGTTTCTTTTATGTTGACTTACTTTCATTGCAAAATGGATTCATCCACCCCTCTGCACACCCTCCACGGCAAATTCCATCGGTTTTATTGCACGGTAATCCCCCTCTACAGTGTCCACTGCAAGTTTCCATGCAGTTGTTTCCAAACCTTTCGTTTTCACATTCTGAAATAAAATATGCCATTATAAAAAAACAACATATTTCTAGTTAAATATTATAAACATCTTTGAAAATTAATTCAACCTACCTTGATTACATTTTCTATCGGGTGTAGGTTTGTGTCCAGGTGCACACTCTCCAGAAGGGCAAGAACCGTATACGTTGTTACAAGTTTTGTTTTTAGCACAATGACCACAAGTATTGTTACATTCCTGTCCGTAAAAACCATGGTTGCATGCTGTAAAGCGAATTTTGTGATCTTAAAGTCCACCGATCTTTATATTTACAGCAATCTTAATCACTGAATTATTGCATTTATTCGATTAAAAGGTCTTGAGTCATTTGTACAAGCACACAGAAAAAAACACATTTCATGTATGTTTTTAAAAATGAAAATTTATTTACCTTCACTGCAGTTCGGACTTTTCCATCCAGCTGCACAACCTTCAACACAGATCCCATCCGTTTTTCTGCATGGTAATCCTCTTGCACAGTGTCTGCTACATTTATCCTTACAGTTTGATCCATAGTTCCCATTCCTACATTCTAAGAGTAAAATATATGTATTTTGAAACTCTATTAAATACATGTAGCATAACGTTATATACAGTAAATGTTAGTTTAGCTAACGTTTAAGCTCTAGACTAATGCCCTGTTCACACGGAGAGTTTAATTCGAATTAAACGTAAAGTTACTGCGAATTAGCTTCGCTTAGCGTTCACACGGAGAGCTTAATACGGATTAGTTTAATTCGAATTAGTTTACTGCGCATTAAATTACTTCGCATTAGCTCCGTGTAAACGTTAAGCGAAGCTAATTCGAATTAAATTTTGAGGCATGCGTAATGGCAAAATTAGATCAAATGCTATATTTCCGTGGTCAAATTGAAGTATTTGTGCTATTTTTGAGTGAAAAACTAAGGAAAATTAATCACTTAAATGTGTGTACAGACACTGTAACATTATGTCAAATGCATCCGCTCCTGCATAAGGTGACGTGATTTGCAAATTACGTCATAATAGCCTTACTGACGCCTGGCCGTAGAAGTAGATTTTTAATTCGCATTAGTTTACTTCGCATTAGCTGTCGTGTGAACTCAATTTAATTCGCATTAGTTTACTTCGCATTAAATTACTGCAAATTAATGCCCTGTTCACACGAAAAGTTTAATTCGCAGTAAATTAATGCGAAGTAAACTAATGCGAATCAAACTAATGCACATTAAATTGCGTTCACACGACAGCTAATGTGAAGTAAACTAATGCAAATTAAAATTTCACTTCGACAGTCAGGCGTGAGGAGGGTTATTATGACGTCATTTACAAATCACGTCACCTTATGCAGAAGCAGATGCATTTGGCATAATGTCACAGTGTCTAGAGACATATTTTAGTGATAAACACATTTTTTCTTAGTTTTTCACTCAAAAATATCACAAGTACTTAGAGCTGACCACCGACAAGACGCATTTGACTAAATTTTGCCATTACACATGCACCAAAATTTAATTCGAATTAGCTTCGCTTAGCGTTCACACGGAGCTAATGCGAAGTAATTTAATGCGCAGTAAACTAATGCGAAGTAAACTAATTCGCATTAAATTCTCCATGTGAACGCTAAGCGAAGCCAATTCGCAGTAAACTTACGTTTAATTCGAATTAAACTCTCCGTGTGAACAGGGCATAAATTCGTCGTGTGAACAGGGCATTAAACTATCTCTCTCCATTTCATGAATATTAATGCCCTGTTCACACGGAGAGTTTAATTCGCAGTAAATTATTGCAAAGTAAACTAATGCGAATCAAAATAATGCGAATTAAATTGCGTTCGCACGACAGCTAATGCGAAGTAAACTAATGCGAATTAAAATTTTACTTCTGCAGCCAAGCTTTAGCACGACTATTATGACGTCATTTGAAAATCACGTCACCTTATGCAGGAGCAGATACATTAATTTGACATAATGTTACAGTGTCTGTACACACATTTTAGTGATTAACACAAGTTTCCTTCGTTTTTCACTCAAAAATAGCACAAATACATCAAGCTGACCACGTACATGTGGCATTTGACCTAATTTTGCCATTACGCATGCCTCAAAATTTAATTCGAATTAGCTTCGCTTAGCGTTCACACGGAGCTAATGCGAAGTAATTTAATGCGCAGTAAACTAATGCCAAGTAAACTAATTCGCATTAAATTCTCCATGTGAACGCTAAGCGAAGCTAATTCGCAGTAACTTTACGTTTAATTCGAATTAAACTCTCCATGTGAACAGGGCATTAAAGTTTTATAGGCTACATTTTTAAAAAAAAGAGCTTATTTATACATGTATCTAGTAGGCAGTTTTGTTTGAGGTTTGTGCAGAAGGGGAAGTGAGACCCCTGGCATACCTTTAAGAAATTATACGACGCAGATTTTTCCCAAACGCAAAAATGAAAGAAAAATATATTGGTAATCTAATAAATTGAATATCTCTGGATGTTCTATCCGCACATGTATACTACCATAGAAAAAGTACGTCTCGTTACTACTTTAGAAGCTGGTCAGATGTGTCTGAAATTTTGTAACATCGGAATGCATATTGAGGTAAATACCAAGATTATCCGATTAAAATAAAAAAGGTGTCATACTCACGATTTGCACACAGTGAATGAATAAAAATAAACATGGATTTTGGACTCTAATTTACTTTCAGTAGTAATTAAGTTGCTTGCCTACCGGCTTCCTCAATCACATCTAAGGTGATCAGACATAACATGGATCGGACAGATTTAACAAAATGGATAACTGATTGAGTTATCTATAAATAGAAGAGAATCCCTGCAGAGGTGACGTGAAAGTGTTACTTTGGGATGAAAACAAAAAAAATAAATAAATGAAGCTTTATTTTTCACTAAATTTTATATGCATATCACCTTTTTTCAATTCTACAGTGAACGTGAATTGGAACATTTTTTTTTACTTAAGATGTCCCTCCACTATGACTACATGTAGTAATTTAGTTGGTGTCTCTTCAAATATAAAAAAAATCTGTGGTAAAGTAGTGATTCTGACGAATAAAGGAGCAAAAAGAGAAAAAAAAAAACGTTGATGAACAAAATCAAATGAAAAAGTAGAGGAAGTAATCGAAATATAATTCGTACAATCGGAACTTCTCGGGCCTTTCCGACGGAAAGTCTCGAGATATTCGTAGTCTGCTTCCCGCCACCGCCTCTTCGTTTTGGCCCAAAACACTCGAAGCTCTTTGGGTGGCTCGTACCTCGAATGAATGGAGCGTGAGGGATTCAGCCGAGGATTGCCGATTTGGCCCAAAACGAAGTGGCGGAGATGGGAACTATACTATTTAATTCGTCCCATTTCCGGGTAGTACTATAATGTAATTCTAACCATGCTGACTGTGTATAGCGATTATAAATATTTTATATGAGTGTAATATTGGAGACAAGCAACAATGCTCTGCTGATTAAAATAATTGATTTTTTTTCAGCAATATATAAAAAAAATTTATTATGCAGTACATAATAAAAATGTTTTAAAGATTAAAACGCTTAATTGTCTTACGTCATACCCCCCCCCCCCCCCCACCCCACAAGAAAGAGCATAAGAATCGAAAGAATGTGATTATTTAAATTTGAATCAAAATGCACCATATTTCGTCTTGAAAGGGGGTTGAATGATAAAAACTAAGAAGTTATGTGTATTCATTTACTTTTATGTTCTGAATTAACTTTGATCTTGTCATAAAATCTGATAATAGACACATCAATATTATCTAGCTGATTATGATATAACTAGAAAAACTCGTATTTAGGGCTACAATATACCATATACCGGGTATATACATGAACTTGTCTTTGAGACCAAATTCACTTTAAAACTTCACGAATTATGCGAGACATTTATTCTATTGTCAAAATGCACAAATAAATCGGGGTTCGCCACATACACAAAACATACTCACTCTGATAATTTTATTTGAATTTCTTTATAAAAGACCCAGATTCTTGCTAAGAAAAAGGTTAACAATTACTGCGCTGGGATTAATAGACAATATAATGTCATATGATGCACTGACATACTAGAATATTAAATACTTTTTAGAATACATGTACAGATGAGAAAAGAACTATTATAACGCTCAGGTGTACAAAGGTAAGCAGTTACTAAGTACTGTAGAATGTTCTATTGCAAAGAAATTGTTTCGACGTTACGATGTAATGACGTTACGTTACAATTATTGACGTTCCTCTTGTAAATTTCATTCAAAAACAATGCAATATTGTCAAATCTCTTTTTGGAAAAGTATTATTGATATCTAATAAAGGAAAACAGTTATGAAAAGCTACAAGTCTACACTATCCTTATTGAAATTCTCATTATTTTTTTTAGTTACGGCGCATATTTCAATTAATGATTCGTGGCTTTAGCTCTTTGAAAAAAGATACACACCTTTATTGCATTTTCTCCCCCTTTGTACATTTCTATGTTTCCATCCTGGTTCACAAATTCCAGAAGGACAGTTGCCATTTACAGGATGACATGCTGTTTTGTTTGCGCAATGTCCACAGGATTTACTACAATTCTTACCGTAGAAACCTTTATTACATGCTGTAAATGAAAGATATGTCACAGTGTATATACCAAAAAACTGGAAATTCATGTTCTTTTTTGATGAAATTTAGCTGTAGACTAGAGGTTCATGGTTGACATGTGTGTCTGATATTGGAGTTAAGTTGGGCTTGTACATAGAGTTTTTAATGCCGAGAAAATAATAACTGAAAGAAAATATATCATGCAGAGCTGTGTAGAGCATTAAGGACCTAAATTTCCCTCCAGGCAACAAAACGTAACAAGAGGCCCATGGGTCACATCGCTCACCCGAGCATTGTGGCTAGGAAAAAGTTGTAATTGGTTTTCTATTGAAAAATTTAAATCCAAAAGTTTCCCCCCGCCCTACCCCTGGGGGTCATGATTTGAACAAACTTGAATCTACACTACCTGAGGATGCATCCATATAAATATGAGCAATTATGGCTTCGCTGTTCTTGAGAAGAAGATTTTTAAAGAGTTTTCCTATATATTTCTAAATAAAACTTTGGTCGGTCATTGTGGCCCCACCCTACCCCCGGGGGTCACGATTTGAACAAACTTGAATCTACACTACCTGAGGATGCATCCATATAGATATGAGCAATTAGGGCTTCGCTGTTCTTGAGAAGAAGATTTTTAAGGAATTTTCCTATATATTTCTATATAAGACTTTGGTCGGCCATTATGGCCCCGCCCTACCCCGGGGGTCACGATTTAAACAAACTTGAATCTACACTACCTGGGGACGCTTCAGTATAAATATGAGCAATTATGGCTTTGGTGTTTTTGAGAAGATTTTTAAAGAATTTTCCTATATATTTCTTTATAAAATTTTGGTCGGCCATTGTGGCCCCGCCCTACCCCCGGGTTCATGATTTGAATAGATTTGAATCTACACAACCTGGGAATGCTTCCATATAAATATGAGCAATTATGGCTTTGCTGTTCTTGAGAAGAAGATTTTTAAAGAATATTCCTATATATTTCTATATAAAATTTTGGTCGGCCATTGCGGCCCCATCCTATCCCCGGGGGACATGATTTGAACAAATTTGAATTTACACTATCTGAGGATGTTTCCCCATAAGTTTCATCTTCCCTGGCACAGTGGTTCTTGAGAAGAAGATTTTTAAAACATACCACCAAATTTTCACTAATTCTCAATTATCTCCCCTTGAATGAGGGCGTGGCCCTTTTTTTGAACAAATTTGAATTCCCTTTACCCAATGATGCTTTGTTGCAAGTTTGGTTGGAATTGGCCTAGTGGTTCTTGAGAAGAAGTCGAAAATGTGAAAAGTTTACAGACAGACGGACAGACAGACAGACAGCTCGACGGACGGACAAACAGACAGACAGCTCGACGGACTGACGGACAGACAGACAGACAGACAGCTCGACGGACGGACAGACAGACGGACAGACGGACGCCGGACAAAATGTGATCAGCCTTCGGCTCCGGTGAGCTAACAAAAAAGTGCACATATTTTACAACCTATTTATATCCACTTACGTTGGTCACATTTAATGTCTTTCCATCCTCTTGAACATCCCTTTTTACACACTCCACTCACGTGGTCACATTCATTTTTATTCACGCAGTTTCGACAACGATATTTACAGTTTGCACCATACCAACCATTTTGACATTCTAAAATTCAAAATACATTTGAACATGTGACTATTTCACATATTTTGCGTGCATTGTATAAGAAGGTGGCACATACTTGTTTTACATTTAGGAGGTTTATATCCTGGGTTTGTGCAGCTGCATTTTCCAGTTATGACATCACAGGTATCTTTACAACGACTACATCTGGAACAGTTCTCGCCATAATGCTTTTCTGGACAACCTAAACCATCGAATACCGATAAAAAGTTTTCTCAACAGTCTTACAAAATGTTGATTGATCTGATAATGTTAAACTCAATATCAATGTATATAAATTTTTTATTAAGATATACTTTTATATAAGAGTAGTCTTCTCATTGTGTTCGATAGATAAGATGAATAAAAATAAAATCGTCACATTGTTTTGAGAAAAGATTTGATAGTAAACAAATTAAAAAAAAATATTGGGGTAGATGGTGTTGCTTTTTGGCATTCATACATGTACTGGTAATCATCTGTACGTTTCTATTGAAAATGAAACATGTATTTCACATTAAAAACGCATAAAAACATTTATAATTGATTCACATTTGAAAATCCCTTTACGGTAAAACAGATTAGTTATCCAAAAGAATAGTAAATAGAAGTTATATTTTTTTTCTAATTCTTACCATAACCTATATGACATTAAATTGATAAGTTTTGTTCAAGTTAAAAGTTTGGAAAACCCACAAGTTTGGTCTTACCGTAAACATGCACTTCACAGATTTCCAGGAACACTCCACCACCATTGTTTTTGTCTGTGTAGAACCATACATACCGGGCCACACCTTTACAGGGCCTCGCTATCATGACCGGAAGTGATTCATTTCCAGGATCCTGATAACATTTTTCAATAGGAATTGGTTCCGGTGATTTGGACAAACGGATAGAAAACCCTTTCAATCTTTTGGTGTTTTCACTTTCATTCCTTTCTAAAATAAAAAAAATTATAGAAATAACTTTGGAAAAAAAATCATATAAATATAGGAAAAATTCTACTGAATTTTTTTTTCAATTCATTTTTTCAGAAACATTATATGATTAAAGAATTTTTTATTTGTTATAGGATGTAAATCACAGGGCATGTGCTTTATTGCAATACATTTTGCCTAATTCGACAAAATCTTATTTTATGCAAAAAATAATTTGTCTGAAAAAAATTAATGTGATTTTTAATCTTTTTGAAACTGCAATAAATAAAATGATGGCTTCACCTGAAAGAAAAAAACTTTTCAGAAATAAATTCTTTTGTGTGATACAAAAAACATAATATAGGCTATTAACACACTAAATTTCAGACAATTAAAACAAACAATAAAGGAATTTATATTAAATATCTTACCAATTAAATGTTAGTTAAGCTCTAGTATTTAAGATTTACAAAAAAAAAGATTATTTACATAACCATACACTGAAAAAAAAAACATAACTAGTAAAAATCACTAAAAAGACATTTTTATGTTCATTCCAGCACAACCTCAAAAGTAGTTTTACTATGTATTTGGTAGAATTACAAGATAACATTAGTAAATAATGTTATTTATATGTAATTTTCACTAGGTATCTAAGTATATTTACGACCCCAGTTCACCTCTCACTATCTTAGCTAGTAAACAGAATGATTACTAATCACGACGAATGTTTTATGAAGCACATTAGTTAAATTAACCAGGTATTTCTTTAGGTTAAAACTAAACGTATAATATATTTGAAAAAAAAAATAAATTCCTTACTATCGCCCCTGTACCAAATTTTGACACTCTTCAAATTATAAAAATTTCCTAAGTCAATTTTCAGCCATTCCTCTCGGCGTCTTCCTGCTGTGTGCATGCAGAATGTATAATTGTTCTGTGAATAGTTTCCATCGACTGTCTTGTTTGCAAAGCCTCCCCATCCCACTGAACTACTTGTAGCCACAGTTATTCCTGGTTTGATAAGTTGTTCTGCAAAAGAAACCACAAGGAAGGTTTTGTTTATTATAAAATTATAAGAGAACTTATTTTATCAGGTATACATTTTTTTTTTGAATTATTTAGTCTTCAAAAACTTCTTCAATTAAGACAAGAAGGAATACTCTTTTTATCTGATTTCAGGAAAGAGCTTGAGATGGGCAGGTAGCAGTTTCTGGTATTTTGAAAATTAACTTATGGGGTTTATGATCGGGGCAACTTATAATAAAGTGTCATGTATACAGTATATTCTGAAACATTTCAAGGTTTGAATACTCGTATGGATGACCGAACTTTTCCTATGTACATCTTGTTGCTATGACGAGGGTCAGACTGTGCAATATATTGTCCAAGATGTATTATACACTATATCTGAGACCGTTCTTACTAAACCCCCTTCCCCTTACTTTGTTTCAGTAATTGTGTATTTCTTCTTTCGTATTTACTTTTTTAAATGCCAAATTTCACTTCTACTTTAAGTTGTGTTTTTCCTACAATTATCAAGCTCACTCATCTGGCAGGAGAACCATGGTACATAGTAATCATTATTTGATTCCAGTCAAAGAGCAGCTTAAAATTGAACATTTGTTGTTTTATATATTTCTAATTTCATGCATTTCAAGATGATGCAAAATTCTTTGAAGTCAAAAGAATATTCCCTGAAAAGGTTCTAATCATTTTTTTTCATATATATAATATGCCAAAGTATAATGATAAAACTTTGAAAAAATACCATGGGAAATACTGTATACACCTTGTTTTTAAATTCAAGACCCTGTTTGTCAATAAATTTACTGTTGATTTGGAAACCATTATGATTATTTTACATTAGTCTTTTATTTGTTAATGTTTTTTTTAATTAACAATATAATCTTTACAAGCATTTAGGTGTTTAAGAATTATACGATTCGACGAAATTTACGATATATAATAACTGAAACATTTCCTTCTACATAACGAAATGATAAATAGTAAAAATCATTCCACTTACCAAAAGAGTTCACTTGGGAAAAATAGTGTAACGAAATATAAATAAGAAATATAATCTTCATGTTTAAAATCATAAATGTGTCCATACAACTGGGAAGTCACAAACTAGTAAGATATTCCATTTTAATCCGGTCAACGTAGTTTGTTTAATCGCCTCTTTCCTGCAGACTTCCAAGAGTCATATTAGTGTCTTTCTTCCTCTTTTCAAATCAAATATCATCCATCGTCCGTATGGGAACGTGCAGCAATGATTGTACGGTCAGGTTTTTATGTATTCCAAAGTGTTTTTCTTCCTTTTGATATATAAATAGCTGGTTTGTAATGTATCAAATATATTTATGTGAAGATGTTTCACGGCGACCCTAATTTTAATATATAGTATTATTCTTCCTTGTTATATTGAAGACAGGTGTAAAAGTTTCTTATGACTTTATTTAACATTAACAACAGATCATTTTATTCAAGTTTCTTCAATGTTATGAAGATTAGTTTATCTTAAAATAAATGTTTAATCTAATTTATTGAAAAGAGCATTTTTCCGAGAAAGAGATATATTTGTATAGCTCTATATTTTTGCTAGGTCATAAATTGTAGTAAATTGTTCTAGATATGTACTTATGGGTGGTTTGTTAAAGATGAGAGACGAGCTTTGTAGACGAAAAGTGTAGAGTATGAGAATTTCACATAAAGGAGAGTGAGAATTATGTCAGAAAACGGAACGATGATACCAGGAAGATAATCAATTTAATTAATTGATAATGTTAGCAAAATGGTCAGTAACATCAAATTTAAATAATCATGTACAATGAAAGTTTTTATATCAATTACATATTACAGACCTCATTTCAGATTTGTTTTAATTGTACATTGTTATATATTATTATAATCGATTTTTTTTGTTTTAAGAAAGGTAGTCAGAGCGTTTCTCTAAATTTATTTCCAATTCCAATCAATGAAAAATAAATAATATGAAGACAATTTAAAGAATGTTTTCTCACATTTAAATTTTGCTCTAAAATGAAAAGCACTTGTATATCAGACGTTATGCGACCATGTAAAGTATTGACATGTATATCAGCGAATACAGTGTGTAACGTCCAACTAACACGAAGTACTTTGACACTTTCGTCTTAAGAGCTTTCATACCAGGAAGTGGGGAAATGACAATTAGAATACATCTGAATAGAGAAGATTTATCTACTCAGCTGTAGTGTCGTTTTATAAATACTGAAAATGATGCTGAACCAAGGGTTTTAACAGCTACTAAGTAATATTGACAGGAAACATAAAAGCATTTTGTGGATCAAATTATGATAGAAGTGCGTCGCAAAAATATGTCATTCATTATTTTGCTAGTCGGTCATAGACATCACCGTCCTATTTTCCATTCTTTACAAAGTTGTAGTAACTACCCAGGATACAGGGTTTAGATCTGGGGACATTGTTTCTTTCTTGCATTTACATTTTTGACTCAGAAAAAAATAATTTTCTATACTTGCCATCAAATTATTATGAATATTTACATCTTTGATTGTTTCCCTGTGTTATCTCTTTGAAGGTTTTGTGAGTTATTTTTTCTTGCTACACCAACCGGAATGTTAAGCTTGCTAGATAAAAGTTCAGAAATAAATATACATGTACATGTTCATGCCAATCTCGTGCTTCTGAGATTTTGTCTGACATCACTGGAGTATTGAAAATAATGTATGGGGCCACGTGTGTTTTGATAGATGTTAACAATTATTTAATTTCAAATAAATGTAAATTACAAAGGATCACTGCATAGTTGTTAAGATGAAGTGCTAATTAGCATTGAGAGTAACAATACAAGTGTAACTGAAATTGAGACAGAGTCATTATTATATAATTACTTCTATTGACATTGAGACAAACTCATTAAATAAATACAACTGCAAAGAAGTCACTTTAAAATATTTCTTTAATTTTGCTTTCTTTGAATGAGTATGAATAAAATAAATAAAACAAATAAAAAAAAATTAAAAGCAAATTAAAACACTATAATGAAATACATCATGTTTAAAAAGAAACATTAAAATCGAACTTTAAAAATGATTATTTTAAAATGACCTTATTGTAAGAGTTTCAAAGCCCTAAACCTTTTCTCTTTATGAGAGTTCTCTGTGTAACAAATTCATTTTTTACCTTTCATTATATTAATTTATTGTACATATATTGCAGTCTTGCGTTGTTTTCTGGAAAAAAAAATGATTTACTTATTCATATTTCATACGATATAAGCTGCTCATAGATTTACCTCTAACAAAATAAATTACTTATTGTACGCATTTTTTTTTATTCATGGAATAGTATTTTATGATGTGCAAGGGATCTTAAGTAAAAAAAAAAAATTATATTTGTAAGTTCAAACTAAACTTAATTCTATAGAAATGCAATGGATGTACAAATAAAGGAGATTATAACAACACTTTACGTTTTTTTTTTTTACTTTTCTAGTATAAAAATTAGTAAATAAAACTAAGTTGGACATGAATAATATAAATACAATATTATCAAAATGGTAGTATGTATATTGTAGCCAAAATAATTTATAATTAATATAATATTTCAATCTTATTCCATCCTGTCTGTAAACAATCTGCAAACATTTACCTTTTTCACTACAAAGTTTATATCATGACCTTCATTCTTTCACATGTATGAATTTTATACACAATACACTACAGTTCTACATAAGTATATATAAAGTCTCCTTTAACCTATATATCTAAATAAATTTACATATCGAATTCAGAAAAGCTGAAAAGTTTTATATTCTTACATGTGTACAATGTATGTGTAAATAAATAATAATAATACTTAATATACTAATATAATCCCTATTCCATATTACACATTTTTACATTTAATGAGATTTTAAGAGCTCGTATTTGCGTAAATATTTTCCTCCATTTTGGTGACCTCCTGTCGTCCTTGAGTATTCTCATAAACATCATCCTTATGGGCGGAGAAGAAGTTTGCCACAACCTGACAGCAGCACTGGTACTCAGACTACAAAAAGAAATAAAGTGAGTGCCTTTATTGTTAAAATATCAAAATAAGACGTACAGTGAAAACTGTCTAACCCTACACCTGTGCTATCTGACTACTGTGTATTAAACTGAAATAACATTTTTTCCTTGTTCTGAATAGCACATACATGTACAAATTTTTTAGAAAAAGGAACCTTGAGTCTAAACAACAAAAATGTCAATTTCATTATAAGGTGTTAACAAATCGAGGAATGTATCATTCTCGAATGTGACGTAAAAAATTATAAAAGCAATAATTTTTTTCGAAGAAGGAAATCCAAAAATCGCATCAACTATCACTAATTACAATGTATAAAACCATCAAAACGGTTTATTACGTTTACGTTTATTACTTTATACTCTCTTTCTCCACCATATTGCCTCCGCAATCACAGAGTACCTATTAAGGTCTGTTTTATACATAATTCCCCATTTTCAAAAGTGAGTTATCTCCCCTCAAAATCGGAACTCTTCTACACTAGCATGACTTCCGCGGACTACACGTTACGATAATCCAACAAAATATTGATCAACTTACACGCTGCATTAAAAATTTTAAAAGAAGGAAACAGTTTGCAATTTTTTTTATAGATAATAAGCGATTGTATAAAGGGTCTGTTGCCCCCTCCCCCCCTTTGTAGAAAGCTATACGAATTAGCCAGGCACGTAGCATCGCCTTTAAAAGATGGGGGGGGGGTGTGCAGCCAAAGAAATATGTTTTTTCTTACCTGGAAAAGTTGACAAGCAAAGAAAAACCTTGCCTAAAGTCGAAAAGCCACTTATTTCAGTACCAGTTCCTTGGCATACAATACTACATTTCCCTTATATAACTTTACGTAGTATGAACTGTGTGTGTGTTGGGGGGGGGGGAGGGGGCAACCTGTCTTTCAATGAACATTTTCAATAGAAAAAGTAAAACATAAATTACACTTAAGAAAAGAATGTTTTCCGTTAATTAACAAGAAATATACGCGAGGAAATTATTGTATCAATTTCGTGTTTCTGCAGTCAATTCTCTGATCTAAAACAAAATGTGTATTTTACTCGGGAATACGCATGTACATATGCTTAGATCCTACACTAAAACTTTGATTAAATACAGCTCAGACTTTATACGACATATGTAACACGAATTCAGGTCGATGCTATTTTAATTAGTCTTTCTTCGTTACATGAGCACATGAGATTAAATTATTCATTTAGAATTCCATTCAAAGTTTTTAATATTATACATGCAGTGAATCGATTATTTTACAAATAAAAAATTCTGGAAACACGGTTAATTCAAATGAAATCTCCAAAAAATTCCTAGAGATGCAGAGAAGAAAATATGGCTGCAAAAGGCTAGATTAATTCGTAAAAACTAAAATTTTTTACATTTGTTCTGCATATTTTGTAAATAATGATGATTCGTCTGCAGAACATCCTCTACAGAAAATCAGCTTTAAAAAAAAAATTAATTTTTTTTTAAATAGGCCTATTCGCATTTTATCAGTAATTTTTTTCTTTTTTCTTTTTTTTTGTAAAGGGGGGGGGGGGGGCTCACACAGCGCTTTATTATACTACTATACATATTAATACAAATCCAAAAATAGACTATGAGTGGGCAATTTAAAAAAAAAAGAATCAGTTAAGATTTCTTTTTATTCACAAACACAATAACATTTTTCCATATGACAGAGGCATTACACTATGAACATGTTTACATCAAAAACGTCCGCGGAAGTGATTTTATTTATAGCGCATGCGTATTAAACACAGTAAAAGAGTTCCCTTCAGGGGAAATAACTCACCTTTTGAAAATGGAGAATACCGCGTTCAAGAATGATCAATTTACCAAATCAAAGATAAATCATTTTTTTAAGAAGAATGAAATGCATTGTAAGAAAACGTTAAACTTGGAACGAAGAGGGAAGAAAGAAAACCGAATACTTGATATGACAATTCAAGTACTTACCATGCTAGAAATCATTTCTGGTCTTCTCATTTGTAACTGCCGGACTATGGTAAACATGTCTACTTCATTGTCCTGCTGTAGTTGTTGTATGGCGTTATACACGGCGCAGAAAATTCCACATCCGGTTGCACCATCTCTGTAAT